CAAGAAATTGTAGATGGCCATTAAAGTGATCTTATGTGTGAAAATATTCATTTGGCTGGACTTATTTTAATATATCACTTTCATGTGGTAGGTAAAATCCTTCTGTGCATCCATAGAAGTCAGGTTGGGCTTCATTAGATTTCTTACCCCAGTTTGGAATAGGTTGTCTTCCTCTGACTGAATGACCCTTGCTGAGCTCTTTTGGGCTGTGTACCATACTCCTAAGAATTCTTCGGGATTCTCTGTGAATGGAGCACACCTTGAGAGGTTAAAGCACTGCCTTTAGAAGCAGCCACCACCTGAGGGATTTCTGACTGTACAGCATACAGAGTGGCAGGGGTGTTAGTGGCTTAAACCGCTATGGCAACTTAAAAAAAAAAAAACAACAGTGAAAATCAATTTCAAATAATGCATTGCATCATGGAAGTACCTTCGTTTATGTTTGAAAGCTTCAATTTTTCACAAAAAACATGAAAGAACGCAGTGCATTACTGCTTATAATTAGCTCTGAAGTTTGATTTAGCATAAAGCTTTACAAGCTCTCAAGTTCCTCCGAATACTCTAAAACCGGTGTAGGCAACCTTGATCTTTCATGAGTGCTGGGCTCCTGGAAAAATGAATGACTTCAAGGGCTGGGTTGGAATGAAAACCAGAAACGGACATAGTGCTCCAGGAGTGGGGTTGCCTACCCTTGGTCCAGTGTAGCTCTGAGGTTGGAAAGAAAACCAGAAACGGACATGGTGCTCCAGGAGTGGGGTTGCCTACCCTTGGTCCAGTGCAGCTCTGAGGCAAATATAGACGTTCAGAAGGTGTGGAACATGGTTGTACAGCCTATGAAATTGTCCAGCTCTACTGGTGATTCTTGAAACCTGCTTCTTCCCAAGCCAGTGGAAACCTGGTGTGGGATATCGACCTGAATGACAGGTGTCTTCTGTCTTTAGGCCTTTCTATGGATACCATGCGAAGGAGAGGCAGTTCATGAAGATCTATTTGTACAATCCCCTGATGGTCAAAAAGTAAGCTATTTATTTTTGTAACCTTTGAAGTTTAATTGTATCAAATGCTGGTGATGCTAGAGTTCTTAAAAATACACTTTTTTTTTTAATCGGGTGTGTTCAACCACATCCATATCTTGTCCCTGGTTTTATGGCTTGTGTGCTGAGGGACACTTGAAGGTATGAAAGCAAGACAGAACCTCTCTGTTGCAGATTCTGAAAGTGCTCCTGGAAGAAACGCTGAGTATCAGTGCCTGTTACTGAGATTCAGTAGTTGGGTTGGAGAAAAGCATCATGGGGATACGTTTCAGAAACCGTGAACTCTTCTCAGAACTAAATTGAATATAAATGCTTGAACAAAGATCTAAAATATTCAATGAAACTAGTTTAATTGTGCGAGATTGATTTTGTTGTGCCAGGATCGATTCTGCATTTTACCTGTCAGCTCAGATGCATCGTGCCCCCTGTTCTGTCTTTAAAACAAAAAATGAGCACAACTGCACTCAACTCAATGTGCACGACAGGACAGAGCAGAAAAGAAAGTTATGAGGAAAGGCCCCTGTAATTTTCTGTCGGCTGTAACTTGCATTCTCTGCTATTATGTATAATTCATCTTGTATTCATTCATATTCATGCAGCTCTACTGTGATCATACTTCCTTTCCTGCCTATTTAGAGAGAAAAGGCAGTTTTACAGGTGCTTGAAAATAACTTGCACCACTGCGGACCGTTCAGCGCCAGTGCCTTTACGCCCCCTCTCTGCGCTCGCGGTTGTGTTCCAGGGTCTGTGAGCTGCTGCAAGGCGGAGCCGTCATGAACAAGACCTACCAGCCCCACGAAGCTCACATCCCCTACCTGCTGCAGCTCTTCATCGACTACAACCTGTACGGCATGAACCTCATCAACCTGGGAGCTGTCAAGTTCAGGAAGAGCCGCAGGAAAGGTGCGACTGGCGTGTGGCTCTTGTGGCTCCTTTTCCCACCGCCGTTCCTCCAGGACAACCCAGGAACATAAATCCAGCCTTGGTCCGTATTTGAAAAGGGGCTGCTGGAAGTGTATGTTTAGCTCAGTGAATGTTGAAGGGAACAGAAGTGCGAGAATTCTCGTCTTTCTGCGACATTTTCGTCTTTATTAAAGTGCGGCAGGTTCACATTGAAATGGTAGTGTTTGGAGAGAGATACAAGGGCACTTCAGTGTGTTAATGGAGCTCTCCTTCACTGGCGTGCTGCCATTCCTTGCGCTTTTGATAGAAGTGTTGGTTATTGTGACATATTTTGTGTTGAGGGAGATAAACCGGGCATTTTAACTACCAAAATATCAATTTAAGCGACTGTTCGGCACGAAACGGGTTGTTTTTTTTGTTCGCTATGAAACAAGCTCCCCCTCCACTTCCCTTGTTCAATTGCGAATGTGGAAAATCGCAGCTGTGAAGATTATAAAAATGGTGCTGCATTTGTTCCGGAGAAGAGTCTATAAAATGTAGCACAGAAGGGTCAGTTCTTCCAAAGTACTGCTGTTATTCAGAAACGTTTATTTGATTAAAACACATTGTCATCTGGAAGTTAGAGTACTAGCAGTCGATCGCCATTTCAGACTGAGCTTAACGGAGACTTTGTACTTGCCTGAGCCTTGTTCAGAGTTGTGTTTTTGTTGGCCTTGTGCGTGCTGTGACTTTAAGAGCTCGGTGTCGCCTCTCTGTCTGCGTGAGTAAACGCCGCATCTTTTAAGGTTCCTGTTAGTTTGGGCTCGATAGCCACATCCGCCCGGCACGACAGTGATCGATTCTTCCTGCCGTTGCCGCTCTTCCGAGTCTGCGAGGAGAGGCCAGGTTTCCTCCGAGCGCTGGCGGAGCTCGGCCCTGCACAGCCGCTGCAGCGGGGCCCCTTGTCGAGACCGGTCCGCGCAGAGCCGGCGAGTCGCTGGGATACAGCATGTCGCAAGAGAGGCGGAGGAGAAGCCAGGAAGCTTCTAAAAGCTGAGCTGCTCTAACAGCAGGAGAAGATCTTATCTCAGAATCTGACACAGGGCTGTCTGCTTTTTTCTTTTCCTTTTTTTTTTTACACCAGTTCACAGATTTAAAGTAGACCTACATCTAGTGCAACTAGTGCATTTGTTCACTATTGTTATGGAGTATCTGTGTGGGAACAATCCATTTATAGGAAGCACATTTCCTTCAGCCTGCGCTGTTCTAAAAATGTGAGCACATTCGGCACAGTATCTAGTTTAAGGTCTTATTATGCTTAACTAAAAAGTGCATTTTTTGTTATTGCCAATGTTACAGAGCCTCATTTCTGCATGGTTTAATCAATAATCTGATTTTCCAAGATGATGAATGTAGAAGTGTACCCTTTTTTATATGCGAACTTCTTTTGGAATCAGTTCTTGTGAAAATAATTAAGCTGGTGTAAATGCAGGGGAACTTTCACCAGTGTTAGTGTTTGCCCCTGCAGGGTTAACTCTTTTAAGTAAATCAATCCTGGGTGTCTTGGATTGGTAGCTCTAGCCAAATGACCAAACTCAAATATGTGCTCTGCGGATCCGTACAGAACCCCTCTTGGTTTCACGAGGGTCTGAGGAGTTGACGACCAGCGTGTCGGCCACACCAGAGGCTTTCTAACACAGTGGAAAAGCTGTAGATATGATGTTTGATCTGAATGCTCCTCCTTGCTCAAAAGCAATGTAAAAACTTTAAATTGACAAAATTAGCCACAATTAACTTTTCCTAGTGTATAACTTTTCTGATTCTTTCATTTCTTAAGCTTAATCAGGTTGTACCATATCCTATTTATGGAATTGTGGCCTTATTCTGGAAGTGTGGAATTCTGGAAGATTAATTTATTCTTTTGAGTTGAATATACGCCCAGTTTATCTTCATATTTTGGGTTCTTCGCAGTTCTAGGTTTCAGAGTGGCAGTCGCCTGTAGCTCGGGCCTCTCCCATGTTGCAGGGCAGGCCCAGGACGAGGGATGCTGGGAACGTGCTCTGCCTGGCGACCCGAGTTCACGCGCAGGCCTTCGTTACTGGTGCGCCAGTTACAGACCCTGCAGGCCTGGCACTCCGTCCTGTTCATCCCCAGTCTGGAAGTGGGCAAGGAGGACGGCTGCTTTCCTCCAGGCCTGCCCTGCCAGGACCCCTGCAGTCCTCCACAGCCTCTCAACAGGCCCCTCGCAGGCAGGGAGCAGAGGGTCAGCGCTGTGAGGCAGAGCGTGATGCATTGATCTGCCAGCACGCCAGCCGTGCGCTGCACCTCAATTCCCCCCTCCCACGAGCAGCCAGAAGCCACTTTCCTGCTTCTGCAGCTCAGGTTCAGATAAGGACAGTTGTACCTCACACGCCATCTACCTCGCCCTCTTCCCTTTCGCTGGAGAGAAAAAGAGAGGGAGAGAAAGGCTGAATAATTGCGTTAACTCCGTGCTTTGTGTGTCTGGCAGCCTGCAGTGCCTCCTCATTGGTGGGCTGGGTCAGGGGAGAAGATAATCACTCTTTCAGATCCAGCGCGTTTGGCTGAAACCAGAGAAGGCTCTGGACAGCTTCCAGCAGTGTGGAGTGAACTCGGGGAAGAAACTTTAAAGGAAAAATCACATGCATCTCAACAGCTACTAACTCACTGGCCCAGGGGCCTTGACCACGTCCTCGGTGCTTTACAGGGGAACATATCGACATGAAAACAACGCCCGTCTGTGAAACTGGATGGAAAGGAAAATGAAGAGTTCCAGCTCAAGGCTGGCAGTTCTGGCACGATATATTGTTCCTTTGAAATTGCAAAGCTTCAGAATAGAGGGCTGTTATCATATATTTCTCAATGTGGGTTGAATAAATTCTCATTATATATCACCGGATGTTCATAGTGCTGCTATGCAAATGATTGCAAGGGACATGAAAGGGTCCTGTTAACCAATATAAAAAGATCAGGTCTCAGATTGCTTTATATTCTTCACTGTCATCTTCCTTTATCTTGTCCTGGTTATTTCTGCTTGTTCTCCGCTAACTGTCTCTGTTGCAAAACACAGAAATGTGCAGGAACCTAAATGGGAAACATTTAGGAATCTTGCTGTTCTCAAGTACATTGCTGAAGCGTTATGCACTTAAACCTGTACAGTATTGTAGTTCCAGGCATTAACTTTTCGATTAAAAATAACTTCAATAATAGCAGTTACCATTTGTATAGAGCTTTCCAGCCCCGAGGACACCAATATGCTTCTCATATAGGACGGAATCCACTTTTTCCATGACCGAAGTGAGGCACTGACCTCACTGATTTTTAGCAACTGCTATGCATCGGCTTTCTCTTGACACAGCATATGAGACGGAGAAGTGAAATTTGTTCTCACCAGTTGAATTAAGGTGAAAATGTCGGGACGTCGGAGGCCCTTCGTGGAATTTAGCCAGGTCACCGAGGTTTAATGCTTTTTACAAATGGGGCTGGGGGATCTTTAATGACAAAGTAGCCAAAAGCTTGCTATCGTCTGAAGGACGCCCCCTCCTACAGGGTGTCCCCATCTCCATGGCGGTTTGGATATTCAGATACACTGGTCGAGCAAGTACAGTACCCATCATCCCAGTCCTGACAAAGCTCAGTCCTGCTTCTCCTCCGAGATCTGAAAAAGATCTGGTACTAATGTGACTTGGCTAGAAGTAAATTCAACTTCAAACTTGAAGCTAAACGTAACGTTTTGAAAGCCACGAGCCTCGTTTTTAACATTAGATGGAAGGTGCATTTTGGTTATTTTCCCAGATGGCTTCTCTTCCCTGGGTAACAACAAAGAAAGGACATGTCCGGCTCAAAGACAGGAGTGTGTGGCGCGACAGAGTGTTGCTCCCTGTCTCTAACAGCTGCCATCTGCTTGCAGAGGAGGAGCGAGGATGCCCTAAGGATGGAGGCACCGGTCCCGGCAGCAGGGCCAACAGCAGTCTGTGGAGGAGTCCTTGCACCTCCAAGGTCCAGCTGTCCAGCCCCTCGCTGGGAGGGACATTCGTGCGCTGGGAGGAGGAGGCCATACCGAGGTGAGAGCAGGCGGAGGACCATGCTTACCCTGCTGCAGAAGGCAGGCTGTCTGATGTGTGTTGTCCATGAAACTCTAGATTGGCATAAGGACTGGTATCAAAATCTTGCGTGACAAAGGAATCACGGGGACATTCTGACCCAGACAGACATGCACGAAGTCACCAGAAACCCAAATCCCGCGTCGTCCCATCGCTGGCAGATTGATAAATATTGGAATTGTTGTGTTTTGCGGTCTGATCAGGACCGTCTGTGTGTCTTGTGTCGTTGGCATTACAGATCTCTTGTTGCTTCAGGTTTAAATTAGCAACAAGTGAATCGGCTAAACCTGAAAAGTAGGAGGAGCATTGTGTAAATGTGTTGTGATTGGCCAATCCTGAACCAGTGGGAGGAGCATTGTGTTGAAATGCAAATCTGCTCCTATCTCATTGTTGTCATATTGGAGGAATTGTTGGGTGAAGAATTTGGAAAAATAATTTGTAGGTGGAAGATTCTCCTTGTGGTGCCTTGCCATAAATCAGTTTAATCAGTTTTTCCTATGTACTGTGACTTGTGATATTACTTATTTATCAACATCACATTTTGCCTCTTTCATATCCTATTATTTTAATGTATTATAAGTAAAAGGACTTTATTAAGAGAATTCTTAAGCAAACGTGGTGTAGGAATCATATTATTCATATAATCTATTCAGTCAATATACCATATACTGACCAGTCTTAATAACTACTTTGTCAGAAGTAACATTCCCTAGTAATATTTTAAAATCCAAAATCAGTTATAGTTCATTGTTTTTATCATAGGTAAGAAAAACCTTGTTACAAGTACTTCTGAAACGTCTAAAAATGCATGTAACAAACCTTTTTGTGTATTTTTTCACAAAAAATAGGAAAATATGTAACTTGCCAAACCAGAAACCGTTTTAAAGCTTGTGTGTTTTTTCCAAATGTTGGACTGAAGTCAGAGTATGCCAGTGCTGAAACCGGAGGAGCTACAAACGGCTGTAGCAAGGCTGTGAGCTAGAGATTTGACATGCACTTGGGGAAATGTTCCGTCTGCCCCCAGCACCACACAACTTTTACTCCACTATACTGTATGTCCGTAACCCACTGGGAGTTGTCCCCATCTTGGTGGCCCCCGACTCGTGCCATCACCCCTGAGCCCATCGCACCTGGCAGCAGGCACGCAGTGACGGTCAACACTGGCGTCATGAGTCCGAGAAAGCGCGCTTGTACTAACACGAGGCAGCGGTCGATCTGCCCGTCAGTTTTAGAGATGCATCGAAAGCCCCACAAGTGAATACTGGACCCAGTAACATCTGTGGCGTTTCTGATGCGCTTCAGTTAGAGCTGCGGCACATCCTGCTCGTGGGTCCCTGCTTCTTCGTTGTCTGACTAGCACCGGGCCGTGTCCTGCGAGCCGCTGCCAGGGGAGGCTCAGGTCGGTGACGGAAGGGATCCCGGCCGAGCCGGCGGTCTCCTGTGCTGATGGCCGGCGCTCGTTTGTGTTGCAGCTCTCTGGTCCTGGAGGGCGTGGAGAAGCAGAGCACGTGCGAGCTGGAGGTGGACGCGGTGGCTGCCGACGTCCTGAACCGCCTGGAGATCGAGAGTAAGGCGGCGTGCCCCTGTTCCGATCGGCCCCGCGGCAGTCGTGGCCGTCGTCTTGATCGGGAATCACACTGCCACTGCTTTAGATTCTTACCACAAAACAAGAATGCGTAAAGCGATAAAAACGTTTTATTACAAACGTCAAGTCTTTTTTTTATGACCTAAATGGAATGCTTCAGCTCTGTCACCTTAGGCTTGGGAAAATCCTTGAAGAACTTGATTGACTGTTGGCATTTTGTCATGTTTCGGTCGGGAATTACCTTACCACTTGGCCAGCTGAAAACCAGCCTGCCATTGGCTGCATTGTATTTAGTATTCTGTGCTTCTCAGGTGCTGTTTCACACTTGTCCTGCTCTGGGGTGAGGGGAGAACAAATTCAATATTTTCGGTGGCTAGCTTTCACGGGCAGAGCTGAACTGTTTGGTACCATAAAAGAGTTTGTAACCTTTATTAGAAAATAGTAAATGATGGTCGTTTATAGCAAGCAAATGGTCTTTAATTGGTCTCCCCCGTGATATAAAATGAATAATGGTAGAAAACACTCTCACAGTGGCATTCTTGCCATGAAACATCTGTAGAAACTTGGACTTGGAACAGTCCAATGGGTCTGGTCCCCCATTGAGCACAATTGTATAACTGTACACAAGCTGAAGTTGATGCAAGAAGTATAAATATCTCCAGGAACAAATAAAAGGTGTGTCGCACACTGTTTCTGCAGTTCTGTGCAGTTAGTTTGCAAGAAAGAATCAGGGTGTTGAGCAAAACAAGCAAAAGTGATTTTTTTTTCAACATAAAGGAAACAGACTTGATCAGAGGAATTCTGTCAGGCAGAGCAAACCACAATAATAACAAAGAGAGGGCAGACGAGCTTCTTCATTACAGACAGTAGATGATGTTGAAAGGAAGCAGTGAAAATGGTACCTCTGTTCATCTCTGTTGAGAAGAAGAGAGCAACATCTTCAGTGTGTTTTTTAATTGGGTGGTTTTATTTCCGAGGAATGCTGTATGTCCAGACGTCGATTATCGTGAACGTATAAATGCACAAACTGTGTAAAAGCTAACACTGGTTTTGGTGTTGGGGTTTTCCAGCTCAGATCGGGAGGAATCCTGGCTTACAAGCCATCTGGGAGGACGAGAAACAACGACGCAGGGAGAAGAACGAATCCACTCAGATAGAGCCTGCAGATTCCCAAGGTTAGCCAAGGGCCAGCTCCCTCCTTATTTCACTTCATGTGTGTCTGTTGGCACACCTGGCGCGTTATGTATTGCAGACTAAGAAAACCTGGGTGCATCTTTCTTCGTGTTCATGATGTCTGAGATTGCTGCCAACTGTACTAATATGTGCAATTTGCTTTATTTTTGATAAGGAGGGTGTTTTCACTCTCCAGGGTACAGGATGAATAAAATGTGAAACCGGAGGTAACAATTTGAGAGTGAAAAGGCATCTGCTCTCTGCCAGCTCTGGTGTTGTGTTTTGTACATTATGTTAGCGAACATCTGATCGCTGCCACCTCCTGTGTCCTTTTAGAAGTGCAGCCAAGCAGTCACTCAGACTTACAGGCTTGGTTGCTGTACGAAATGACCTAGCAAAAAAAAATCAGGCTGGGCACATTTTATTTCCCTTTTTAAAGCTCTCTTATAACTATCAAATTCGTTGAATTTGTTTTTGCAATTTAGATGAGATCTACTGAATGTTCTTATTCTTTGTAACGAATGGTAAGGGACTGTTACCATCATGTCAGACCAATCCAAAAAATGGATATGAAATGGTTCTTGGAGAATTCGTGGTGCTTTTTGACTCCAATATAAGTGATGCTCTACTATATACCAGAGGTTAAAGGAGTTGTCCATTTTCAGACTTGTTCTGCATTTTCATGTGATATTCATTTCAAATCTACATTGAAGTGTTTTGGTCAACCCTCCTATGCACAGTGTGGCAGTAGAAAGAGTTATACAAGAGCTCTGCTCACACTACTAATCGTTGCAATCTTCAGTCTCATTTCACAATTTTCTTTTTCTTCGTGTGTAAAAATGCACATTTGAATACAGCCCTGAATATTTCATCTTGCAGCATCGAGTCTCAATTGTTTATCTAGTGAGCAGAGAGCCCTGAGCACATCAGTAGTCACACGCTTAATCAAAACAAATATCTCTGGCTTCTCTAGGATTACCAATGAGGAAAATATCTGTCTGTACTATCCTATATGCAGTCTGTCATACATTTTTAATGACATTTATTTCGTGTCTGATGGTGTTCCAGATCGGGGATTTGTTGCAACTGCAGAAAGCGAAAGAATTTTTTTGAAGAGACTGAAGGAGATCTTGAAGCAAAACGATTTCTCTGCGTAAGTACTGCCATATTTAAAAAAAAACAAAACAAAACACTTTAATTTGTAAAGTCTGTGAAGAAGAAAAGCAGAAGCGTCATGACACGGTAGACCTCCAGGATGTCAAGTAAATGAGTCTGTTCTCCAGAATGAAGACAAACCCTTCATTACCGTTATTGCTTTGCAGACTGTCACGTATAGCCCTTCACAACAGCCTCCTCACATGCAGCTGCTTATTGGTCTTTTTCCTCGTTTTTGTTTCCGGTCAAACCAGTACTGATGAAGTGTAGAAAACTGTTGAATTTGTTTTCGCATAATGATGCGTGTCTGATCATCTTTATTGCTTCCAATAGTCTGGGCACAGCAGAACGTTAAAGCTCTGAGCTCATTCCACCTGTATACGGACATTTTCTCTAGACAGCTGTTCCCAGTGGCGTCTTTTTGCGATTTGAACCCTGGAAAATCCTTGGCTGTAGTAACATGCGGGTATCGAAGGAGGCCCATCTTGTCACGTGCCAGTTCCAGCAGCTGTGTTTCACTACACCTTTCACACAATGTTGAAACACTTACGTCTCCCCCGCACTTGACTGGAAAAATACACAAGAATAGCTGATGAGGAATCTTGTAATGCACCATAAGCTAAAAGCATGGTTCTCTGTCTGAACAGATTGTCACAAGAGAGGCGATGTCATTTTGAAGCCTTTTGCCATCTTCACCCTGTACTAAAAAGTTGGCTTCTGTTGGACTGCCGATAATGCTGTACCAGATTCCCTTTGCTTTTGTAGATTTTTATTAGACTTCAGCAGTTTTGGACACTGACCTATTGTCACCTAAGGGCTGTCTGTTAACTTTCATGCGTGAATTATGGTAATTCCCGGCTCTAAGTGCTGGAAAATTAAGCTGTTACAGATTCCCAAACTCAAATTCCAGTTTGTCAGATATTCTGTCCACAGGAGAATACTGCAGGCCTGTATTTAGGCAAGTGCCTAATCTTTGCTTTGTCCAGGATTCTTTCCCCTTCAGCTGTTGACCCAGTTTTGCTTTCTTAAATCTCACATTGCTGTTTCCCTAGAAGATTAATTGGCGTTCCTTTTAGTAAGCAGTTTTTTGTGTGAGTTTAATCCAATATTTTCTGGTTCATTGCTGCAGCATCGCAGTGGAGCCACTGTGACTTGGCGGTGTTTTACTGTCAGTGGCGCTGTGACACTTGCTGAAAAGCTAAAACTCAGCTCTATATAGTGATTATCCCTGCAATTTCACTTATGTGTTTCCATGCTGGAGAGAGAATAAACCCGGATTCTCTTTAAAATTACATTGTTTTATTTCCTATGAACTACAATGAAAATAGCTAGCAGAAGTATCTTTCTTCTTCCGTATGCTATATCTTACTGAACAAGACAGGTGTCACTCCACTTGTTACGAACATGTTCTTCAACTGCATTTCAAAATAGAACACAATTAGCCTTTAAATCACGAAAAGAAGAAATCTTGTGACAGCATTTTAATGCAAAAGATTTGTTATTTTTTAAGCAACTGCTGTGTCCTTTATAATCTCTGTTTTTGGTGTCTCTTTTTTTCCTCATGGTTAAACCCATAATTACGTTATGCTTTGTGGGTGTGCGCTCAGTAAATGATCTATAAACAAAACCCACAGTTAAATGTTCTTCTGGCACAAATGTTTCTAGAAATACGAATTGGAAAACCAAGTGATGCTGACTGGCATTTCCTCTCAGCACATTGTATTGACACTACAGATTTGATTTCAGAATGAGGGGACTTCAGGCATTATTTAATAATCTATATGTCTTGTAAGCTTTAATTAAGAAAACCTTAGCTGAAAGATTGACATGGGAATCCTACACCTTATGGCATATTAAAATCACTACTATTTGGAATAAAAATGAAGAGGAATGCATATACATGCATAATGTGCTCTGCTAGGTTCCATTGTTTTAGAATAAAATACAGAAACATTTTAGAAAACCTTTCATTCTTCCCTTTTTACTCAGAATTTGATAGTTCTCTTGCGGGAAAACATGGATGAGAGGGATGTTGTTGGGACTGTTTTCTGATTGGCAAGAAGGATGAATGAAAATTCAGGAGGAGAGCCATGGGATTAATGGTGTAGTTGTACTGGAACTAGAACACCAAGGAGCAGACAAATCCCTCCAGAAGCAGGATGCCCTGTCTGGGCTCAGTGCTAGTCAGTATAAAACACCTTTTCATGTTTTCCAAGGCGACGCTGGGCAAGGATAGCATTACGACAAGGATGCTGAGGCAGAAAGAGCCGCCGTGCTTGTCACCCTGGCTGATAGTCACTCAGCAGCAGAGGCGCAGTTGGAAGGAGACCAGATTGTCCTGGCTGGCTTCCAGACTTTCATTCATCCTTCCTGAGCGCGCACACTGCACACACGGCAACTGCTTCTGCCTGATTCTCTAGCAGAGCCACACTCTGAAAACACGACTGTGCGAGCCGCTCTTTCTGGGCAGCGCTCCTACTTTGCCGATGACCTCCGCGATCCGCCGGGCGACAGTGTATAATTTGGCGCGTTTGCCTCTGTGTGACTAGGTCTTTCTCAGAGTCTCTGGATGACGCTGAGGAACCTGAAATGTTTCCTGTTGAACTTTCACTGCACTCAGATTTCTTGACACCTGAAGCCCTTCAGTGCACACCAGCAAACCTCGTGGAAGTTCACAAAGACAGTCAGCCAGGTGGGTAATGGATTTTTGTGTCTTGTGAGCCTGGTGTTCTTCAAAACTGGCCTTCAGTGCGAAAGTGTGACTGGGTAACCTGAAATTAGATTAGCTAGTGCAATGTTGGTATATATGCAGTTTAAGACTAAGGCATCTGCCATTGGAATTCCTGATTGCTTTGCCTTTCCCCTGCAGTACATTAGCCATTACAGCATTATCGTTAGAGCAATACAGGTAGACATGCACACTTCTTCTGCTTTATTGTTCTGTATTATTTACTTGTTTTTAAATCTTTATATGTAGGGCGAACCCATTAAACTTGATGTTTAAACGTGTGATTAAATCAGATAGGTTTTGGGAGTATGGAACAAATCGCCGCTCCTTCCCTATTCCCTCTAGTCTTTGAAGCAAACTGGTGCCTCCTGTTGTCAGATTTAAATGTACTTCCATGTAGTTTCCACTTATGGGCCACTTGCTCATAATTTGCTGCTGTTACTGAAGTTGTTCTGGGGGTTGGCTTTGTCAGAGCCCTTGAGGATTTTGAATATTCATGTCAAGTCACCTTGTCGTCTTCTCAATTCAAGACGAACACTGTTGGACAGAAATGCTGCTAAAAGGGTTTAGCTCTTTTGGCCTGTCAGTGTAGTAAATCCCTTTAAAAAATCCCTGGGATATATCTGGTTGCTTTTTTTTGTATATTTCTTGTGACATGACCAGAAATGTGCCCAGTTATCAAAATGGAGTCTTACTTTGGTGTTAATCAATTGTAACATAACATCCCTTTCTTTAAATTATATGCTTTTAACTATACATTCTAACATTTTGCCTTTTACATGCTTCCTTGCATTCTCTAGAATCTTTACTTTCTCTGGAGGATAAGTGATTTACCAACAAGCACTCAAGCGGCCTCTTCAAGATCAGCATTTTATGTTTTGTATTTAATTTGGTTTTGCTACCTGCATTTAATATTTTGCACTTAACTGCATTAAACATCTACCAAGTGTATGCCCAGGCTTGAATTTTATTTAAATCTTTTTCAGTTTTGCTGCACCTATGCTGCTGCTGTTTTAATATAATCTATAAACTTGACTAGTTTGCTAACAATATCAGAACCTTGATCGTATAAATTGGGAAGAGCAGTGTTCCTAGTACAGATCCCTGTGGTACCCCACTAATTACATCGTCCCAATTTGAGTGTCTTCCTCTTTATCTGTACTTTTTGTTAACTATTTATCAGTACAAATACACAAATGCCCCTAATTCCTGCTTCATATAATTTGACAATTGATCTCATGAGGTACTTTATAAAAATCCTTCATAAAATCTAAATAAACCATATTGTATGCTCTGTGTGTATGTCCATGCCGGTTGTGATGAAAGTTCTCTAACAAGTTAGTGAGGCATCTACCTTCTCTTAATCCATGCTGACCATTCCCTGTGGCCCAATTTCCATATGGGTCATCCTCTAGTTGAAGTAAACAACACTGTTTTGTCTCCCAATCGTGCTTGCTTTCAGGTCCCAAGAAAATCCCAGCTAGTGAAAGTGAAGTCGCTATTGTGGATGAGGAAGCCATTCTCAGCCTGCTGGAGAGCAGTCAGGCTTTCCAGTCGTCGTCTCAGAGACTTATTCAGTCCCCCATTCTAGGTATGAGAATGTTCTGTCTCGGGAGTGTGATGCTGCAGGAGGGAGGCTCTCTCTTGGACCTTACGGTTTGCGCTGATCGTAGTGCTTGTTCAAACTGTTGCATCTCTACCTCTGTAATTGACAGCCAGCTAAGCACCTGGGGGCACCGAGTGTCTCTCTCCTCGTGCACTGGCCCCATGGCATTTGAATACAGTCAGGCTGGATTTCTTTTTAACAGCATCTGCCTCCAGACGTTTGTGAGCTGTTAAAAGGTTGGTTAAATCTCCCTTCAAGTCTCTTGAAATGTTTCGGCATTTATTTATTTCTTTAAGAAATGTTTAGCTTTCCTCCTAAAGTTTAAGCTGGATTTCTCCTGATGTAGAGACGGGTGGCGTTTTCCTGCCTTAATATTGTTTTTCTCGGCTGCAGTGATTTGCGATAGGCATCGCTACGCCAGAATAATGGCGGCCCCGGCTATATAATCAACACCGTCCGTCTTCGTCACCAGTAATGACCTTTAGCTTTAACCAGAGACGTTTCGGGAAAGCCTTGCCCCTGCTCCACGTCTCCCGCTGCTTCGTTTGTGCCGCAGACAGCAGTCAGGACCTGGCGCTGGTGGACCTGCTGGCCGGCCTGGAGGAGGACGGGCACGAGGCGGAGAGGCCGAGGAAGTCCTCCCAGCAGCAGCTCTCGGGGAGCCGCGGCCACTACTACAACAGCGACGAGGAGGAGGCGGGGCCTGAGCTGGCCAGGGAGGAGGCGGAGCTCAGTCTGGTGATGTCACAGAGATGGGACAGCGACATTCCGGAGCACAGCTCCAAACACAGGTACTGCACTGATCCCATAAATATATACTGTACAGTATATACCAGCATTGTAGTCAGATCCAACTTACCAGTGTCTGAGGCCAGCCAGTGAAAATCTTCCTTAGAAATCTCACATCTCTCTAAACCATCTTCCCATTTCACTTGATGCCAGAATAATTCTAGCTACACTGTTTGCATAGTGTTCCTTTTGTTTCAGATACACCTGACTGCTATAGATCCACTTTGAATTTAGGATTCTGGACCAAATCACTTTGGGATTGTACAGTACCCACTTTGACTTCTAGAAAGAAATTATGGTTTTGGGGAATGTTTGAATTAGTGTTACCAAAAAGGTTACTTGAAACATCTAAAATGATCATATTTTGAAGTGTAAAGTGTTATTACCTCTCATCCTTAATCCAAATGAATCTACAGCATATCTTAAAAAGTAAATACAACATTTGTTAGTAGACTTGACACTAACAAGAAATAGCATTTTTAAAGAATGCTTTTTTAACACTAATCTTGGACTTACACATTGCTTATCAGACCCTTTCTCACAACTGCCAGTGACCCAAATCTGAATCACGAGATGTACTACTGATGCAGACGCAGATCCTGCAAGTCTTATAAATGCTAAAACCTGTGTTGGCTTTTACATTTTTAATGTCTTACTTCTTTGTGGTCCTGCAGGAAGGGGAGTTTTGGTCTGTTGAAACTGTGAACTCAGCCGTGAATATGCTTGAGAACAGTTCAGAATTTTAAGCAAAATTAATGCTTCTGAAATGAACCAAAAAACTCTTTAAAGGGACACTCTGTCATGAGTAACACCTTCTTACACAGCTCCCATCTTTTTTGTTTTTTCTTGTTTTCTTTCTTGTTTTGCCCTATTTTCGCCACTTGAGTGGAAGAAAATATTTTAATTGTATATTGGTAAGCTTTGATTTCATTTCAGGGGTAGCTAATAGTGATGAGTGTTTTTTAAAGGTGACTGACTGTTGCTTCCATTAAACTTGGATGAATACGAGTACCAGTTTTAGTGAGAAGTTGAATCTAGCTTTTCGCTCTTACTGTATAATGTCATTTTAAATCTATCCTGTCATATGTACAGTACCTTTCTTATTGTACACAAAGAAGCAAATAGGTCTTCAAATAACATTGCTGAATGTCTCAATTTCTCATAATCTGTTGAACATACACAATTGTCTTCTGAAGTAGCAAGGTTTTAGCACATGTTCGTGCCTTTTACACCATGGGATTGGGTGATAAAAGCTCAGCATCTGCCTCTGAGAGCTGCGTCATTAATCAGCATAGAGCATAAAAATGTTTACAATTAACAATTCGTCCATTCTACCTGTGAAACGGCATATTAACTGCTGTATATTCTGTCTTTAAGTAATGTTTTCATACAGAGGATGAAAATATTCTGCACAGCCAAAGCGTGTTTCTGTTAATGCAGCCACGATGAAAAATGCCTACAATAGTGCATTCACTATTGACCATTTCTGTTTGCTTATACAGTTGTCCACAATGGTAGGAAAACCAGGGAATATCCCAGGCTGTTGAAACTCTACGCTTGAGGATAGGCTTTATATTTCCAGCAGTCTAGATCGCTGGTATCAAACTCATTACTGTTGCACATCAGATTCGATTAAATCAGGGAGAACTTGCACCCCCGTAAATCAGCAAAATATTAGACATAGCCGTTATATAGTATTATTTGTTTGCAACATCTCACACGTTCTTGGTGTTTATTTCACACTGAGGCATCTCCCTCGGAAATGCAGCTAGCTGTCATCCCGAAATTCACTGGTGCCCAGTTTATGGCATGATAACACCTCATTGTTTGGTTTCTCAGGACTGTGTTTGGCATCCCAGCAGCTGTGTTTTACGCCCTCCTTGCCCTGTGCACAGAGAGCAGCGTGGACACACAAGCGACCTGCTGGGACCGGGTTCGCCGTTCCTGCGGTCGGGGGGTGCTGGCGCTGCTCGGTGTAACGTCACGTGATTTTGTCTGTTCCCTGGCGCGTCTCAGACTCTCCGGGAAGCATGGGGGCGACAGCTCGAGCGAGGAGGAGCAGGAGTCCTCAGAGGAGGAGATGGACTGGAGTGGGAACAGCCCTCTCTTCGCCAGCCTGTCCATCCCGCAGCTGGACGGGGCTGCAGATGAAAACAGTGGTGAGTGAGCAGAGCAGGCCGTGAAAGAGTCCCGAGAGCCCGTTGTCAAGCAGAAGGTAACAACATGAGAAAGGTTAAAAACAGGGGGACATCTGGCCTTTATTATCTTAATTAAGGGGGGCGGAGCGGTGACTCTGTGGCTCAGGATCTGTGTCAGTGACTGGAAGGTTGCCAGTTCAAATCCCGCAGCCGGCAGAGGAATCCTACTCCGTTGGTCCCCTGAGCAAGGCCCTTAACCCCAACTGCTCCAGGAGCACCATATAAATAGCTGACCCTGCACTCTGACCCTCTCTGTGTGTCTCAGGAGAGCAGGCTGGGGTATGCAAAAAGACAAATTCCTAATGCAAGGAATTGTATACGACCCGTAAAGTGATCTTATCTTACCTTCTGAGAAGGTCCTCTCGGGATTCTTGGATTCACCTCTGGCTGATGAATTGTGAATTCCTTGAATCTGAAAACCCAGCTGTGCTATTTTCTTTTCCCAACTATTCCGAGACTGCTCCGGAAAAGATAAACGCCTGCCGGGCTCTCCGTTTCGCCAAGGCTGTTTTCAGTGAAAAAGCTCCAGCCCCGTATGCGTGAAACACTAGGCTGTGATGGCCAACGAGCGGTACAATACATTTTCTCCATCCCGCAAAGCGCGGCCGAAACGAAGCAGGACAGGCGCGACGCAAAACGAGGTCCGACAGGGTTGCCAAGCAGTAGAAAGATCCGTAGGAAAATCTCAAGCCAGGGTCCCCCAGGGCCAAGGAGTGATGCAGAGGTTCCCAGTGAAGTGACTGCGGGGTTCGCCGCCTCCTCCTCCTCTGTAACATTCTGTGAGGAGCGGCGGTATCCGCGGCGAGGCACTCCCGCGGGCCAGCGTCAGCTGTTTCTGGAAGCATGTTGAGCAGAAGCTACAGCCGCCGTTTGGCCTGGTCCCCTACGTCCGTCTGAGCTGTGACAACTGGACATACCCGCCAGATAGTCGCAACCTTTTATGACTGTGTAGGGTTCGGGCTTGCTAGGCTGTGCCTCTTTTCTGCTCTTTTTTCTTTAAAAGTGTCACGTAAGAGACTGGAAAAAGCAGTGACATGAGCAACCACAGTGAAAGTGCACTTCTCAGTGAAGAAAGGCGGATGAAGCGAATTGTACCGTGCTTCTGAGTTGTTGATGTGGGTTTTAAGGCATTTTCAGAGGTGTGTTCAGTACATCACTGTGACCCATATAATACTTTCCAGTATATCTGACAGTGTTCATCAGTTAAATTGATTTCCGGGGCTTTCCTCTTCTGGCCCTCAGAGATATTTTACGAACCGTCTTAGCGTTCAGGAATTGTAGTTGGGACACACGAGATTATTTTGACAAAAATTACACGAGGAAGGAAAGCTGCTTTTTCTGAAACCCTTGCACTGTAAAACCTACGTTTTTTGTTTTGTAAAAAAAATAGTTTTCTTCTTCTGATTTAAAGATCCCATCCTGTAGCACTGCATTGTTAGTGATTAATCCCCAGCTCCAGAGTAGTACCATTGAAATAAGAATTGTGTTTCTGCCACGCTGGCTTCCTAAATGAGAAAAGCCATGTGACAGTCATAGGGACATTATCAGAGCAGGGGATGCGGCAGGTTTTACACTACAGATTTTGCCTTTAGGAAATGGATAGTGCTTAAGGCCTCTCTCTTTTTTTACAATGGGTCACTGCCAAAGTTTCAGTAGACTGTACGGTTTTTGAAGGAAAATGACGAGGTTAAAAATGGGTTCTCTCAGTTTTTGTTACCATATTCTCTCTGATATAGAATGCGCTTCCAGCCTTTGTAATGCTTGTGCTACACTCTTTACACATAGTACAGCTGTAAGATTTGTTCTAGAAGCACAAATAGAGTTATAAACCATACTTTTATAGAAAGCACAGTGTTGTCATGATGAATATTCCAACTGAAGCATTCTTATACACAGAAAATCTGTTTGTAATGTTACTCAAATGCATTTACATGTATTCCAAGTTGTTCAAACAACATCAGCAAGTTTGTTCTCAGAACATATTGTTATACATTACAGCACTGTCAGGATTCGGAACTGTTGTATACAGCATATTGATATACGGTACACGTCCTCATTTTGCCAAACTTATTTTTAGGTCAAAAGCATGAGATTGTATCGCAAATGCAACATTTATAACATTTTAATATCATATCCACTGCAGTTGTAACATTAATTAATGTTATTAATTAATTAATATCACACACAAAGCTCTCACACAATGCACACAGAACATTTCAAAATACTGAGGTGTTAATTGTTTAGAAAAATTAACAAATACAAGAGAATAGTTTATTAAAAGAGACAGAACTGCACTGTAAAGCACTGTGGTTATTATGAGGCTGTAGAGAGACCACTTTAAGAGACCAGAAATAGTCTTGAGCAACGTAATACCATAATGTGAAACTTCACATGAAAAAAAAGAAATCACCTCAAGATTACAGAGAATACAGAGAACAAGTGTAAGAAACAAAGATAAAGTATTGAAATTTTAAGATGGAGGGAATTTCTAAGAACTAATTAATAATTGCTTACACTTATATAGCGCTTTTCTGGACACTCCACTCAAAGCGCTTTACAGGTAATGGGGACTCCCCTCCACCACCACCTGGATGATGCGACGGCAGCCGTAGTGCACCAGTACTCTCCCCACACATCAGCTCTCAGTGGGGAGGAGAGCAGAGTAATGAAGCCAATTCATAGGTGGGGATTATTAGGAGGCCATGATTGGTAAGGGCCAATGGGAAATTTGGCCAGGGCGCCAGGGTTACACCCCTACTCTTTTTGAGAAACACCCTGGGATTTTAATGACCACAGAGAGTCAGGAACTCGGTTTTACGTCTCATCCGAAGGACGGCGCCTGTTTACAGTAAAGTGTCCCCCTCACTATACTGAGGCATTAGGACCCACATGGACCGCAGGGTGAGCGCCCCCCGCTGGCCCCACAAACACCTCTTCCAGCAGCAACCTTAGTTTTTCCCAGGAGGTCTCCCATCCAGGTACTGACCAGGCTCACACCTGCTGAGCTTCAGTGGGTTGCCAGTTGTGAGTTGCAGGGTGATATGGCTGCTAGCGTTTTTAAAATAGTGTTTTTAGTCCTTGACTGTTTTTTCTGGCATTGTCTTACATGTTAATGAAGCAGAGATAAAAAAGTAAAAAAAAAGGAGGCATTGTCAAATATTCTGTAAAACATACAGCATTTTCTTTTGTTTTAGGAAATAATAGTCTTTTTTGGGGCATTTTTTTCAGATACATCATTAAATGACAAAGGCTCCAGGACACATTCATCTTTGACTGCCACTGACAAGATTCTTGGAAAGAGGAACCCGTTTCCGAATGAAACTGTCACCCTAGAACCTCCTTCCTCAGCTAAAATCCTGCTGGAGTGCAAACATCCAGAGCATCACCAGGCCCTGTCCCTAGATGCAGAAGAATCAAAAGAGAAGCACTTTGTTTCGAAAAGCTCCGCCATCCTGGAAAATAAAACTGACTCACCGGTGTATAAGAAAAACAAGGAAAGCACGTATACCATCAAATATCCCGTTCCCTGCTCAAACAACTCAAACAAAAATGAAATCTTCCAGATAGACGCCGATAAAATTGATATACCTTCCATCTTCTCCTATGAAAAGAAGGGCATGACCCTTAACAAACCTGACCCAGAGGGCATCCCGTTTGAAAATGGCAAGAACAGGAAGAAATATATGAGCATTAAAAGTTCGGAAAAGGGTCATATCCCAATGCTTCAGAATCACCGGAAATTTGCCCTCTGCTACTCCGAATTGAGGAGCACTCCTTCCAAAGCCGAACATGACATCAGTCCAAATAGTGCTTTACTTAAAAAGGTCAATCCAATTCCAATCCCAAACCCGGCAGACGGAGATGGTCCCGTGGCTCCACAGGAGGGAGAAATAGGCAAAGCTAGCAGGGAGGTCGACATGGGGGAGCTGAAGATTAGATATGAAGACTATCAAGAAAACAAGACTGAGACGACAATCATGACTCAGCAGGAGGCTCACTACAAGTTTTTCCCCAGTGTAATCCTCTCTAACTGCCTCAACAGGCCATCTATCAAGTGTCTTACCAAGCCAGGCGCTGGCAGACTTGACCAAGACGACCGCCGATCAAGGCTAAAGTTAGGCAAAAAGAAAGTTGGTGTGTCTTGTCAGAAGTCCAGGGTTCACGCTGTCGAAAGCCCAGGAGCCGATGGTCAGGATGCAGCCGCCTTCACGTCGTTGAAGGCCACTTGCCGAAAGAGTGGGGAGGTGGAGGGGACGTCAGAGAACAGCCCTGTGGATCTCATGAGGGCCATTCCTAGCGTCGCGGGCTGTGCAGAATCCTCGAGCGAAGAAAACAGGCTCGACCTGTCGAATTTCCCAGAGTGTCACGCTCAGCTAGTACCTGCCAAGCCCTTGGGTTTACCTGGGAGCAAGTACACCCTGAGGGCAAAACGGAAGGTGAGCTATGAGAGTGAGGACGGGGAACCGTCCAGTACAAGTAGCAATCAGCCAGTCAAGTCTGCTTTTGCCCCGAGAGACAGTCTGAAGGATAGTTGTGTTCTCAGTTGTCATGAGTACAAATATCAGAAGCGGCGAAAAATGTCCAAGAGAGAGCCCCCGATTATCATCAAGTATATCATCATTAACAGATTTAAAGGGCAGAAGAACATGCTTGTTAAGATGGCCAAAGTGAGCGCCGAGGAGGATCAGGTTGTACTGACCCCCGAAAGGCTACAGCAGTACGAAAAGCTGGCTCCGCTCAAGAATTTCTGGCCCAGGGTTCCAGAGTCCACTGCGGTGAAGTATCCCATTTATCCAGCAAAGCCAAAAAGGTCACAGAAAAGGAAAGCGAAGATTAATTCGGCGTCCAAGAAAAAAGTCGCCATTTCCCCAAAAGCCAGGGGTGGACAAATTAGGACGATAAGAAGGACTAAGTCTGCTAAGAAACGTCTGACCTTGGCTACACTCCCCCCGCCCCTGCCCGTCTATAATGAAGAGACCAATGACTTTTCCACAGAGTATGTCGATGTCATGTCCAAGTTAGGGTATCTGTCGGATAGAGTGCCGAGCCCTACAGACGCCTCCCCGCCTCGGTGCTGGTCACCCAGCGATCCACACACAGAGTCCACTTCCACAGAGCTGCCGTTCAGCCCTTTCCCTTTGCGTGAACCGTCGTCCAGCTCTTCGTGTCTGAAGCCTGGGGAGGAGTTGTCGGGAAGAGGGGTTCGCAGGGGTCGCCTCGGCCGACCCAGGAAGGTGGCTTCTTCCAGCCCGAAAAGGAGACGGGGTAAGGGTCCCCGGAAGGAGTCGGAAGACGAATCTGCCAGAAAGGAAATGCCAAAAAGGAAAACGGGCGCGGGAGTTCAGAGGAGGCGGAAGAAGAAGTCCGACGCAACGCCAGATAGGAGCCAAGAGGAAGGCACGACCAAAATAAAAAAAATCAGAAAGCCTCGCAAAAAGAAGCAGTCTGAAGAAAATAGTGACCCCCCCTCCAGTGGAGGTTGCAATAGTTCCCAAGTTCTCTTTCCTGGAGAAGATCTCCCTCTCAAGGAATGTTCAGCTGCCGATCTCCCTGCCTCACAGCTACCAATGTCGGACAAAGGAAGTGGAGATCTGTCTAGTGCACCAAGCGCTGCCAATTCAACAAATCAGTCTTTATTACCGGAAAATGAACAGAAGTCTGAGGCCCCTAAATGTTCCGATTCCAAAATGAGTCAAGTTGTTTGCGATAAGTCTGGTCCAGTGAGAGTACAGCCCTCCCAAAACCAAAGTGTTCACTTGTGTGGTAACAATGAGCCTACACAGGCTTCGGCAGGTTCACAGTCTGGTTCACAGATTGTTTTGGGAGCATCGCAAGTACCTGATCTGGTCAGTTCTCAGAGCAGTTGCCCTCTGTCTTTTGAGCAGACCAGTGGGACAAGCCTTCCCTGTTCTCCTCCCGTGGTTATTTGTAATAGAACCACCTCGGAGACCCCTTGTCAAAATGTTTTCCTGGCTTCACAGCAAGCACCCCTCACAGTGACACCGGCTGAATTCAAGGCAGAAGTGCCTTCTCCCCTGCTTTTGAGCTCTGAAGACTGCAGAAGCTCCACGCAGTCTTCTGATGGCAGGACCCCAGCAAAACCAAAAAGACGTCCTTACAAGAAGAAAGAAAAGGGAGAAGGTCTTGGAGGAGCTCAGTTTACCCCTATTAAAATAAAACCGAAGTCCAAGTCTAGTTCTGGAGATGGTGATGGAGTGGCCAGCCACTGTCCACTGCAGTTCAACTACAAGAATGGAGAAGGGTGGCCTGCGGTTGCCGAGGCACCCTCGGGCATTGCTGTTTTGAAGGAGCTCCTTCAGAAGAGGCAACAGAAGGTGCTGGAAGGGACAGCCTCTGAATGTGCTCCCGGTGCAACAGAGCCTGGCAGCTGTCCCCCCATCCCTGTCAGTAAGCCCACTAAGGCGAAAAGAGCTCCCTCATCAACTCCCAGAAAACCCAGGAAGCCCAAGCCTCAAGCCCCTAAGGAGAAGAAGCCGAGGAGCAGGAAAGGCAAGAACGCAAAAACACAGGAACCTGTTCAGCCTGATCCTCCCGCGTCAGACGGCAGCCCCATCTTTCATTCTGACCCTGGCTTCGAGAGCTGCTACTCCTTCGAGGACAGCTTATCCCCGGAGCTCCCGCACAACTACAACTTTGACATCAATGCCATAGGTCAGACGGAGTTTTGCAGCCTCTACATGGGCAGCCAGTTTGTGCTGGCCGACAAGAATCTCCCCCAGAAGTTCCTCAGCGATGTGGTCCAGGATCCTATCCCTGCCCCTCCTGTGACTGTGGAGAACGTGTCCGACGGGGTACCCGGCGCTGGGGAGGAGCTCCAGCCCAGCTCCGAATGGCATAAGGCTCACCCGAATAGCCCCGACCTCTTCGATAAGTCGTCTTCGGAAAACAAAGAAGGCCTTGCCACGCAGCTGGCTGCGTCTTTGCTGGATTCTGACAGTGGGAGGGAGCTGGCAGCCGCAAGGGTTACGAGAAACAAGGAAAGTACGGCTTCCCTCAGCAAAGTAAATGGTATCAGCCACCTTCAGCCTTGTAAAAGAGGCTTCCTTGATGAAGGAAGGTACGCATTATCTTCGTTTGACCCCTTTCTGCCACTGCCGTTGAATTCCACATCTTTTGTGGATCTCCTGGGTTCCCCGACCGGTGATTTCATGGAAGGAAATGATGTCTTGACAACGACGCCGAGCAGCTCCCCGAGGTCAGTCAGCTCGCTGTCTCAGCTGAAAAACGGCAGCCACCCACTTCGGGGTACAGGGGGAGCTCACATCCTAAAGCCCCTCATGTCACCCCCAAACCGAGATGAGATTGTGTCCACCTTGCTGGATCTAGATCTGTCAGAGGCTACTTATCAAGAGCCTTTCTGCAGCAACCCTTCTGACGCTCCAGGAAAGCCGAGGTAAACTGTGTTCTTAACTAACGTTTTGATTTTTTCTTTCCTTTAACTTTGTTTTAATCCTGTGCTTTGTTGCCGCCATTTAGAACTTAAGTTCAAATATGTTTGCATTGGTTTTGTTTTCAAAATGGGAAAGGCATTTGCTGTTTCCCCTGTCAGTTTGAGCATGAAGCTAGGAAATTTAGAAATTTAGTCCGTATTTCCCTTCGGTAATTAATAATAAAAGAACTGAGATTTGCTAGATTCAAAATTAAAGACTGTCAAAATCTGGATCATTAAACCATCATGTTGTCCCCAATTGTAAAAAATATACCATGAATTTACCTCAGTGATTGGTATAGTTAGAGGCACCTTAGATCTCTGTCCTCTGGCAAGGCTTTGACTAACGACCAATAGATCATACACACTGGGATCAACAAACATTTGTTAATGACACTTAACAAAAACAACGTACAACACAATGTACAATATACAAGTTACTGTATTTCACCACATGTTTCCGGGATTTTTAAGAAATCCTCTACAACGCCTAAACAGGCCAGCGAGGGTCAAACCTGCCTTCTCAATAAAGCAGAGTACAATCTGGGGTTTATTCCTTTTGCCAGCACCTCATCTCCCAACAGCACGTCTTCTGTTAGTTTTAATCACTTTGAACCCCCGGAAAACTGTGCGTTTTGACTCTAGATGTTGATGATTGTCTGTATATAGAGACGCCTCAGTACCTGTAACAATATTGCAGCGCTGAAGTGTAAAAGTTTGTTGATTGCATCTGATGACTTGTGATAACTGTAGGAAGTTTTTTTTTTTGGAAAATTGATTCATTTCCTTAGGGAAGTTGGTGGGCGCGTGCTGACGGTGGAGACCAGACTCGCCAAGGAGTTGGCAGAGTTTGATGGGGATTTTTCCTCGGAAGGACTGCAGCTTTGGAAGACCGCGTTCGCCATGATGACTCGGCCCGGATCCCCCACGGCACACGGGGCGGGAACTCTGGACAGCGCCCGGAGCCGCCCGGACAACAGCCCCGCGTCTGCGAACAGTCGGAAGGTGGTCGTTGTCCCCTGCAAGAATGCGCCCAGTCGGGACAGGGTGCAGCTCTGGCTCCAGGCGAAGAGGGAGTTTGAGCAGTGTCAGAGGGAAAAGAAGGAGACAGCGGGCACCGGAAGAGGTGATGCGCACGAGGAAGACGAAAAGGACACGGCAAAGAGGAGCTTGGTGGCTCCCGCGGACAAGCTGAACGACAATGAGTCCCACAAGACTGCAGCTTCGCAGGAGGCAGGGGCGAAAGGAGCCGAGCGGTCCTCCCAGCCCTTACCGGCAGGGTCCTCGGAGAGCCAAAGACGCCAGGCCCTGGCTGTCGTTGTCGAGCAGGGAGAGGAAGAAGAGGATTACTATAAAAGCTACAGCTCTCCTGATTCCCCGGTCCTGCCACCCTGGCAGCAAGCCGCCTCTCCCTGCTCTTCCCAGGCCAGATTGGAGGAGGGAGAGGAGAAAAGAACTGAATTGGCGTCTCCCAGGCTTCCTGAACCTGACGACCTGCTGCTTCTCCCAGCCTGCCCCTCCCCCTTGTGCCCCTCCCCCTTGTCTCATCCCGCGAAGGCTGCTGGGAATTGTAGTTTCATCCAGCTCCACAGTACTCCAGTCAATAAGAGGAGGAGAAGCGGGGAGGTTTCTGAACTAATTGGCACTTCTCCCATCACTTCAGGTATGGCTTTAGTTTCTGTTATGTCACCTCCGAGTAATTCTTGTGCAGGTGCTTAAAAAAAAATACTTTTGTAGTCAATTTCAGACCTTTAGTCTGTGTAATCAGCCGTTTAACCCGGTGACTGTAAATGTTAAATTGTCATGGAAATTAGTAGGACTGCTTTTTACACGTATAAGAAAATGGTCTTTTCTCATGAAGTGTAAGGGTTGTTTTACCTGGGCTTTTTCTAGATGTGGAAACAAAATCTCAGAAGCTGGGCCAGAGAAGAGGCAGACATGCTGACCCACTAAGGAGAGTGCTCTTAACCACACAAATGAAGGTAATTTGATAGATGGAATGTGTGTTTTTTAATTTAATTTTATTCATTCATTTGGTAATAATATTTTTGGCTGTTTTCTTTCTCCCTGTTGTACTTGCAGGTACCATTTTGCTGTAAAAAAGGTTAACTGTACTACAGAAAGAACGAAACTCTTTCAGAATTAAGCAATTGCCAAAGATTGGTTTAGTGTCAGTAAAAGTAAACTGATATGTTTTAATTTTCCTAATATTTTTTTATAATCTTAACAATTGCTTTACCTACAACAGAAATTTCATTTGACAGAATGGGTCTCTGTGAACCATATTTAATTATACGAATATTCCAAAATGGTTGTAAAAGATTTAATTAGAACTGTCAAGTTAAATAACACCCCATTGTGGTTGGATTTTTTTTTTTAATTACAAATACAGCAAGGTAAAAGGCTACCAAACAGCCCTGATTCATGGCATATCCCCAAACCATAACTCAAAAACTTCAACTTGCAGTTGCTGTCCAGTTACTACTGGTTAACAACTGGTTGATAAGTGTGAACAGTATGTTTGTATGTAAACTGACATAGTTCCTAATCTAATAAACCAAGTCTGTTTGAACTGAAACTAGTGTGAACATGGACTGATAAATATGATTTTTAATTCTCTTTAAGCATTAGTAATAGAACCGTCTATCGGATGAGACGTTAAACCAAGGTCCGGATTCTCAGTGGTCATTGAAGATCCTTGGGCATTTCTCGATAAGAGTAGGGGTATCCCGGTGTCAGGGCCAAATTTTCCCCCTCGGCCTTTACCATGGCCTCCAAATTGTCCCCATGTATGACTGGCTTGCACGTGCCCTGCGATGGACTGGTGTCCCGTCCAGGGTGCACCCTGCCTTGCGCTCGTTGCTTGCTGGGTAGTTTCCAGCGTCCCGCGACACTGTATGGTATAAGGCGGTTTGGCAAATGACATGACATTAGTAATAGAAACTAAACCAGTCCAGGGTGTCCTTCTTTGTCAGGTGCATGCTTAGAGGTCCAACAGTTGTTTAATATAAAATTGAACCCGTCAGCATAATAAACATTTTCTTAGATTGAAGCAACATCAGGCACTTGAAACAGAACATTGATCATTTTTTATTCCTTTTTTATTCAGTGCTTTGTTTTACAGGATGTCCTTTTTGTGCTGAATTGCACAGCATCACAGGAGTTTGTATCTTTGTGCGAAACTGTTTTTTATCTATCCCAAAGAGAGGGGGGTCAAACCACGCATTTTAAATTAGCCGAAGCGGTTTCTCATTTAGTCTTTTTTTTCCTTTTTTATCGGTTGTGATTTTGTCTCTGTGAAAACCTGCTTCATTCTTGTTCACAGAATCAGTTTGCCGCTTTAAATGTTCCAAAGAAAGACAACTCCCAGATTGAAGGTCCGTCCCTCAACAATTCGTATGGCTTTAAAGTCAGCATGCAGAACCTACAGGAGGCTAAAGCACTGCATGAGGTAACACCTGTCCGATCGGGAACGTTTCAGCAGCAAGATTCCAGATGTCATTCTTCGGGTGCTTGAAAAGCTTCGTGGAACTTAATGTGAGGCCATCGCAAGGGTCTTGAGCGTCCGGCTGCCAGCTATCAAGGATAAATTAAAGATGGCCAGAAGTGAAATAGTCTGACCTTGCAGTTAGTCATCAGGAAAGGCACATCATTGCAAACCCAGCCCTGTTGTGATTATAAGTGTTCAGAAAAGCTCAACGTGTTCCCAGTCTCTCGAGCAGGCTGTGTGTGCGCTGTATGATAATACCACCCAGGAAAGAAGAATCTGTGGGTGGTCTGCTTTGCTAAGGCGCACCTGTTGGATCCCGCTGTCTAGTTTATCCTCTCGGAGATCCGCACTGATAGACAGGAGCATTTCAAGCATTTCACAGCTGAATATATGGGTGTTTTTCCTAGAGGGTTTGACCTTGTTGGGTGCTATGAAATGTGAATATCAGCATTCTTGTGCATTTTTGGAGACAATCTTAACAGATGATCGTTTCTCACGGAGCTGTTTTACATTGGACCATTAGTTTCCAGCTCGCCTCCTTGGAGAGCTTTCAGGAGTATTGATCCGGGTCTGTCTTGCACTCTTGTGCTTATAGAACACTAGACAGCCTCTTAAGCCTCACACACTCTTGTTAATTATTCTCTGAATCATTGAACCGTTTTTTGTTAGCTTTGCCTAAACTGCATCCAAGATCGTAACTGTACGGTGTTTGTAGATGAGCTCAGGGAAACACTGTTCGACATGTCAGTTTAAGGAGGGTTTGAAATTTTGTCAATTGAAATGCACAATTCTGATAGAAACCAGGGGAGTCATGTTTAATACCTCTCGTTTAATTTTGTACTTTATTTATAACACTTGTTTGTGTATTGTGTGTATGTATTATAATTTGGTCTTTGTTTTTAAAAAGGTATGTGTAAATATGTAGTCTTTGGGGAGAAAGCTTTTTTTTTATCTAGACTTCAGCCTCATTTCTGTTTCTCAAAAATACTATGTAACTATCCCACAAAATTGAAAATAGTCTCTCTTGTAAAAACAACTAATAAGATGATAGACTGCTAAAACAGGTTGCCTAGAAGGTAAAAGTGTAACTGGAGATCTGTCTTAACTGCACTGTAGTCTTAATCTCCGTTTTTCTTGCAGGTGCAGTATTTGACATTAATGAGCCTGGAGCTGCATGCTCGGACCAGGCGGGACTTGGAGCCTGACCCGGAGTTTGATCCGATATGTGCCTTATTTTACTGCATCACCTCTGATGCACTTCTGCCTGGTACAGACAAGACGGAGCTCACAGGCGCTATAGTGGTGGACAAAGACTACAGCAGCTGTGGACCAGGTGACCTGCCTTCATTTAAAGCTTTTTCACCATGCAGACAGCATCGAGTTGAGAGTCCTTTTTAATTGCTGTTCAAGGTATCTTAATTCCGAGATGCCTTGTATAAGTGTGTTTTTCACAGTCCTACCTGTTTCGCACTAGTTCTACTGAAGACTGAGTTCGAGAAAAGTTTTCACGTCGAGTTTTCACTGATGGAATTCTGTGTTTTCAGGTTCCGAGAGCACAGCACCCCTACTGGTCAGATCAGGGATTACAGGTCTACAGGTCACTTACACCACTGATGAGAAAGAACTCTTTCAAGCAGTGATTGATACAATCCGAAGGTATTCTTAAAACTGTCTTACCTATATGCTAATGAAGGAATATATTTGATTCCTGGACTTGTTTAAGTCCTATGATCGGTCTCTGACAATCCATGATTTTGCAGCCACGGGCGAGGAAATAATAGACCTAGTAAAATGAAAATTCAGGATGGTCTAGCTCTCGTCTTACAGAAGAATAGCTGCCAACTGAAATTCTGGTTGTAACGTTTCTCTTTCTAATTTGAAAGGAAAGAACAGCTATTATTTGATTACAGTAATTAAATGATTGCAATCAGAAATGCCGAGCCGCCGCAGTGCAAATTCTGTGTTTGATCTGTTGAAAGTGTTCACATATGTAGCTAAGACTACAGTAAGCAAAGTCCTTTGTTGTCATGTGCTCCTTAGCTATGATTATAGGAGTCAGTCCTCCATTTTTAGATTAATCTCCACATTAAGTATCTGAAATCTTAGTGCCCGAACCCAGTAAAATGTTAATATCCAGTAAATGCACTTGAGGCTGTTCGCTCATCAAATCTCTTGCCTAGCAGATACGACCCTGACATCCTCCTGGGCTACGAGGTTCAGATGCGCTCCTGGGGTTACCTCCTGCAGCGGGCCTCTGCGCTGGGCGTGGACTTGTGCCAGCAGCTGTCTCGCGTACCAGGTGGGGCTGGGATGAGCTTCACAGGCCTGGACTGAGGAGGGGGGCGGACCAGGCCGGCAGTGGCTTGGCAGGGAGCGAAGCCGCTTCAGGGGACAATATTATTAACATCTGGGTCTTGACTCCTGGGAAAGTGAGCGAATCAGGGCCATGCAGAGATCTCCAGTCTTGACTGGGTCCTCGAACACAGAAAACACGTTTTAACTCGGTTCCTTTCGTAATGCTTCACAGGTCAAGCAAAGCAAGGAAGAAAAAGAAATTATAGACACTGCTTATTAACCAGTCTAGCTTGCAGTACGGTAGTAGATTCCCACACAGGTCTGCTCCCCAGCACACATTCCTCACACTGCTTATGGCCACTGCCACACCTGTTGCACATTAGCGCACAGCACAGACCTCGTTGATTTGCACAGAGCAATTCCCCGATTACCGAATGCTACCAGTCGAGTAACTCATTGAGTTAAACAATTGTCAATTGTAAAAAAAAAAAAACCCTCTGCCTTTTCACACGATAGAACTTGCTTTCTGGATGGGTCATTTAAATCACTCTGTGCAAGATTGCATAACATTCACTATAAACAGAAATGACTGCTTAAGGAATGTACAGATGTACATTCTGTCTCCAGTGACGCAGAGCTTTATTTAAAAGACTTCTTACTGGGGATCTGAAACGCGTTGCGACTTTTCACCTTATAAAAGAACGCTTGTGCTCGGCCACAACCGCTGTTCCACAACAGCTCCTGCAAGTTGTGGAGGATCTTCCTGAACCCTGCTGTGATATTTTTCATTTATGGAGCTGACCGATAAGTATTGGGAACTGATTGCCCAAAGGGAAACATAGAGTGCCAGTTCCCGCAATCCTAGTCTCATGTGCTTTGTGATCCAAAGTGAGCCACTGAGCCAATAACATTTTTACGTTGCCAGAAATCAGCTTGTGGTTTCTGGACCCCATACAAAAAAAACAACTTGTAACCAGTGAACGATGCTTGCTTTAAGAGTTTCAGCTAGTTTCCTCATGTGTCAGAGCATGCTGAATATTACCTTGAACATCTGGTAGTTTAATTCACCTTCGTGTTGGCCTGAGGTGATGGAATGAGTCCTGTGGTTTTTACCCCCAACAGCATCATGCTGATGGCTGGATTTTTGGCACTTTGATTAGCTCTGCATGTGGCTTGTCAGGAGTAACCAAAGGCTTGTAACACACTGTTACAAGATGTTGCTCTTTTCCTCTGCTCCCCCACCTGTTATGTCTGGAGGATTATTCTGTCATTACAGCACCAGGGCTGACTGAAATACTGTTAACAGTTGAGTTATGATGAAGATGAACAACAGACAGATGGTACCGTCATCCAAGTTTAAACATGCAATCTCAGTTGTGGTGGGCTGTAAAACTTTCGTTTTTTTGTTCCTGCTGTTTGTTCTGAAGGGGTTTGTACCTATGTCTTTGTACTACCTATTTCTTAAGTAGTTAGTTACAGTGAGTCAGCTTTTCTTTCCCGCTGCCTTAATTCTGCACTGTAAGGTTAAGTTGTCAAGAGCTGTGCTTCACATCTTACCTGATAGTGACTCAGGCAGTCAATAAATTGAGAAGGTCAGTCACGTTAGACACTGAGGGCTCCTTTCACACGGCCAGTGCAAAACATATCATCAATAAAGTTAATTTAGGTATGCTCGTTTAGGACTGAGGCTGATTAGGGTATGTGAAAGAAGCTTGGACACAGCCTTAAGCCTCCACAAATTGAGGTGTTTATAAATATATGTGTAATCTGCGATTACATCACGACATTTTCATATTGGTAAAAAAATACAATGTATAAACTTTTAAGTTCTTAATGTACTTGAATAAATTGCTTTTGCTCAATCCTTTAACCTTTTGAGCATGCGGCCAGTATTTTTCAGGCCTCGGCTTCATCGGCACCAAATCTTGGACTCCCTATTGTGATTCTGACTTTCAGCGGTGAGATTTCCGCACCAGTAATTTAGCTTGTTTGTTCTTTGTAGGTGACGCAAAAGAGAACCGTTTTTCTGCAGAGAGTGATGAGTATGGAGCCGACACCATGACCGAGATCAACATCATCGGACGCATTACTCTCAATGTCTGGAGAATGATGAAAACTGAGGTACAGAAAAAAAATACCTCAGTAGCAGAAAACAACCACATAGAATTTTCTAAACAATGTTAGATGCAACACAAAGTCCTGTTCTGCTCTGAAAGGGGTAGTTGTACAGATGACATCCTTACAAACACCTTTTGTGTACGAACAATGGTATCTTGATAACTTTAAAACATCATGTTATAATATCTATTAGTTCACTTGACTGCTTTTTTCTTAGGTTTGTAGGAAGCATTTATCACAAAACACAGTGCGCAGGCCTTGAAAAATGACTTTTATCTTTTTAGAAACAAATTCAGCATGATGGCGTTTTTCATTTTAACCGTATTAAGTTGGCAATTGTTAAACTGATTCAATGCGATTTATGTCTTTGTTGCCATTTCAAAACAAAGTGGATTGGAATTGGCCCCGTTGCAGCTCAGATAAAAACAACATAAACGGCAAAACCCATGTAACTCTTTTATTCAGTCAATCAAAGACCTGTTCCACTTCTGTTCAGATTCACCCCCCCATATAATACGTGCGGCATCCAGGACCTGCACATTGAGGTGCCTCTAGCTCAGTGCTGCCTGGACAGCGGTCTTTGTGAAGCGGTGGTAAAGTCACAGTGCGCTGTGCGGTTGTGTTTCCTCAGGTGACTCTGAACAACTACAGCTTTGAAAACGTGGCGTTCCACGTGCTCCACCAGCGGTTTCCTCTCTTTTCTCCTCGCACCCTCTCGGAATGGTTTGACCACCGGACGCACCTGTACAGGTGAGGGCGCTGTCCGAGTGGGAGGCGCTGTCCGAGCGGGAGGCGCCCCCCCCTCTCCGATTCTTATTTTTCTTCATGGAAACCCCCCACCCTGCAGGGGGAGGAAACACGGGAGCCAGGGCGCAGAGCGAAACCGACCCGTGTTCTCCTTCCGGAGACGTGCAATGTATGTGACGGGCGTTTGGGCCTCCCCCCACCCCCAAAAAAAATGCTAAAGAGAAAGAGAAAAGAGGGAGGAGCCTATTCAACGAGAAACGTGAAACGTCGCGTCCCCCGCGCAACTTTATCAACAGCGATGGGGCGCAGACAAGCTTCTAGAAAGAAGATAGTGTGAAAATATCCTAAACAAACCCGAGAAAAAGAAATGTCATGCAGGCTGTAATCCGACTTCTAAAAAACACGCTCGTCGAACGTCGATGGTGTTAACTCTCATCAGATACATACGAGAGTAATATAACTTCTGGGGATTGGTTCCTAATGTCTAACCCGTCACAAGTGCCACAGATTTCCAAACCCCATTTATTTGGCTGTTTTGGGGTACTGTTTTTGGGGCACCATTACCCGTTATGTACATAACATAGGACCCGTGAATCAACTTGATGAGCGTAAGAGCTCATTCCTCGTCAGCTGCCTCGCAAACGGAAGACCAGCAGTGTTAATATTAAGCGGATGCAAACAAAATCGTATCCGTTCGCGGACCTGGGAGCGAGACGCAAAATTTGTCGGCTTTTGCAAGGACATTTTTTTGCTCCTTGATACAAAACATCTCGATGTGGTTTCGCATTCCGACTTCTTCCCTGCTGTCCTTGTAGTAATGTTGTATTCTGTTTGTTTTTGCACAGAGCTTGGCTTTTTGCGCGTGTTCTTGCATGCGGCGTCACTCATGGGTCAGTCGAGGGCTGCGTGTTTTAAATGGCGTTAGTGAAAGTCACGGGTGGGATCTGCCTTCTGGCCGGGAGACGCGTGTCAGAGGACGCTGGGGGGAGCGAAGGAGTGCCCCCCTCCCCCGCGCCCTCCCCTCCGCTGAGCAGCTGAGTCTCCTTGCAGGTGGAAGGTGGTGGATCACTACGTCGGCCGGGCCCGCGGGACCCTGCAGCTGCTGGAGCAGCACGACCTGATTGGCAGGACCAGCGAGCTGGCCAGGCTGTTCGGCATCCAGTTCTTCCACGTGCTGACCCGCGGCTCCCAGGTCAGGCTCCCGCTGCCCCTCGGCGGTCTGGGGCAGCACGTCATGCCGTCGTTAAGCAGCCGGCGGCGGCGTCATTAAATACCACATTGACGCAACTGGAAGAGTATCAGGCCCGCGGTGGTCCGTGATTTGGGGTTGTTGGAATTTTTCTTTTGAGAATGCTAACCAGATGTCCCCCGGCTCCTGACTCAGTTGGCAGCGCTGGCGTGATGACCTACCAACAGGAATCGGGCTCTTCCTTTTTCTCGCCTGATGACGCGTGGATGTTTTTGCCAACTCACAGTTAGGAGGCAGCCGGTTAAAGCCGTATGTGTGACAAATGCTGATGTGCTCACAAAAAAACAGCTCAGTTCTCGGTGTGAAAGAAAGGGGAGCTGTCGGTAGGAAAGCTGACGGATTCAGCCTTGTCAGGGGAACCAGACTGAAGTCTGTCTCGGGCCTCGCTTGTCTTGCAGTACCGGGTGGAGTCCATGATGCTCCGGATTGCCAAGCCCATGAACTACATCGCGGTCACCCCCAGCACACAGCAGAGGGCCCAGATGAGGGCGCCTCAGTGCATCCCCCTGGTGATGGAGCCCGAGTCGCGCTTCTACAGCAACTCGGTGCTCGTGCTGGACTTCCAGTCCCTCTACCCCTCCATCGTCATCGCCTACAACTACTGCTTCTCCACCTGCCTCGGCCACGTTGAGAACCTGGGCACGTAAGGAAACTTCCTCCGGCTCTGGCTCCCCGTCTGCACGCGGGCCGTTCGCCTGCGAACTCTTAAAGGGAACTCGTTTGATTTTAAATCCAGTTAAGAAGCGTAGTTATAGTTAAGTGTTATAAATGCAAATCTTATACTGTACATGAAGCATCAAAGGAAACCTTTCACTTACTGTAGTCCTGCATCAAATTCACTAAGATGTGATCTCGAAATTGACGGTCTGTTTTGTGACGGGTGCTCTGGTATCTCGCTGAGCTGACGCGGCTGTCCTGTGAGAGCTGCAGGGTTGTTGTACTTTTGGCGGCTTTCAGAAGCGGCACGAGCTGTGTATCTGTGACGCACGCTCTGGACCGGTTTGCAGATGCTGTCCTGTTGGATTCTAGCCCACTGTTGTTGCAGAGACCGGACAGGCAAGTGCCTGTTCACTGGTCTCTGAGCTCCTCGCAAAAAATATTGTCAAGCATTCTCATCTGTCAAGAAAACGGCTGTCACATGGGCGGCTGGAAACGCGCAGGAATCTTGTGCAGTAAAACGAGCCTGCACGAAGGGCAGCCTGTGAGGTCCCACTGCTTGATCAAAGCAGTGCTGTTGTCAGGCTGTCACCAGTCATTACTGATGGAGTGTAGAGAAGTTAGACACTTTAACACACTGTGTAAGACCCTGAGGTGTCGTCTTGGCCTTCAGCTGCTGACCACTGAATGGGTGGATGTTGTGGTGTTTATCCGCAAGCTGTTGTGATCCAAGATCCTGATGCAGTGGAGCGGACAGTACGAAAGACGGAGTGCGATGATGTCGGTTTCGACGGGGTGCTATAAGTGATGGCCTCCCAGACAGCGGCCTGTCTGACTTCAGTTCCTGCCAGTGCGCCGACATCGTCTGACATGCCGGAGGCATGAAAGTGTTGTTGTCTGGCTAAGCGGGACAGGGCGATTCCTTTCTGTAGCTTTCTTTATTGATTTTCACCTGGCTTGACATCCAACACGTTCCAGCTCCTGTAACAGGCAGCTCTCACGCTAATGAGGTGGGCTGGTGCTAAAGTCCCTCAAGTGCATCGCAGGCAGTCGTGAGTGGTTAATTGCACTCCAAGTTTAACCAGAGTCTGTATACATGTTCTAAGACTCTACACAGCCCTTCCTCCTCGTGCGTGGTTGTGTATACTCGTGGTATCAGGCTAAGCCTGGCCTCGAAGCTATTCAGACTGTCTCTGAGACTCTGTCAGAAATGAGTACGCTCTCATCTCCAGCTTCCCAGCATCCCACATCTCTTCCCCATCTCTCGTACTTCTTCGCTGCCTTTTGTTGGAATCTTGGCAGTAAAACTCTTTTACCCATGTCAACACCTAAAGCAGGAAAAATATTTCTGTGTTTGACTTGCACAGTGCATCATGATGCCCATGATGTAGAGGAGAGTTTTTTCCGAGTGTGCACGTTTTTTGTTATCCGTAGAAACATCAGGCTCATCGATTTGAATTCTGCCAAGTCTTAAGTAAATTTCAAGGAGATGCTTTTGCCGATTTTGTGCTCATGCTTGCTTTTAAGATGTGGTGCAATGAAAAAAAGTGATGAGCTCCCCCCTCTTTCTGATGTGTTTCAGGCATGATGAGTTCAGGTTTGGCTGCACGTCTCTGCGAGTTCCTCCGGACCTGCTGTACCTCCTTCGGAACGACATTACAGTGTCACCCAATGGGGTGGCCTTTGTGAAGGTGATTAGAGAAATAACACTAGGGCGCACCTATGTGGGTAGCTTTGGAAATCTGAAGAGGAGTATAGGGTAACTTTCAGTAAGCGTGCATGGGTTACGACAACCTACAACCAGAGAAACAGAATAGAAAACCATTTGGAAGCAGTTCTGGTGGAAGATGGTTCTCTATAGCTTTGTATCGTCTTTTATTTTGAAAAACTGGTAGTGGGAAGATATAAAATGTGTATTCTGTTTCCCAATTAAGAGTCTGAGACGTGAATGCCACATCCATTTGTAGCTGACATTTTGTTTTTCTGGTGTTCAGCTTGCCTCATGTACAACTCCTGTCATTCTGTCAGGAGATAACATTGCCTTCCTGTTTTATTCTCTAATTCCACAGAATTTGCCTCTCAACTGAGTAGAGTCAATAAAGCAATGGCTCACAGTCCTGGTCCTGCAGGACTAATTAATGTCTGTGACTGATCTGCTTGCTTGTTTAGGCTTTTTTTCTGCCTTTAGTCCTAGATTTTAAAAATACCCTGAAGTATCTGATTTATAACAAAATGAATAGCATACAGAACTTCATGCATTCCCTTATCAACTTGCAAATAAAGACTTGGGAGTTTCTGACTACAGAGCTCTGAACTGGTAACCAGTTTAAGACACAGGTGGGAATGACAACATATCAGACTCTCCCATTTTTGATGAGTGAGTGCTTTTTTCTAATAAATATGATTCTTGAATGCTCCAATAGCCTGCAGTTAAATAGATCAGGCGGAGAAAAAAACAAGGCACACGGATTCCCCCCAACACCAGGACTGAAATCCATTGCAGTGTAGTATTCAACGGGGAAAATAAGAAATTAAATGTATAATTATAATTTTCCTAATAATTGCTTACACTTACACAGCACTTTTCTGGACACTCCACTCGAAGCGCTTTACCGGTAATGGGGATCCCCTCCACCACCACCAGTGTGCAGCCCCACCTGGATGATGCGACAGCAGCCATAGTGCGCCAGAATGCTCCCCACACACCAGCTATCAGTGGGGAGGAGAGCAGAGTAATGAAGCCAGTTCACAGATGGAGATTATTAGGAGGCCATGTATATTAAGTATATTAAGTGTAACCAATTATTATTATTATTAAAGGCCAGGGGGAAATTTGGCCAGGACACGGGGTTACACCCCTACTCTTTTCGAGAAACATCCTGGGATTTTTAATGACCACAGAGAGTCAGGACCTTGGTTTTGCGTCTCACCCAAAGGGCCGTGCCTTTTTAAAGCATAATGTCCCTGTCACAATACTGGGGCGGTAGGACCCACAAAGACCGCAGGGTGAGCGCCCCAGAAAGAACTGTTGTCCAGGGTAGGGTTGTCATGGAGACCTGCCGTTTTGTGCGGTTTTCAGTGTGACACTTTCCCACTCCTCCTGTCGAACCCAGTGGTGTGTGGAGAGAGCTGTACCCATCATGCGAGTAGTGCTCAGGGACTGCTGTTTGGAGCAGAGTGGAAGGCCATGCGTACCCCAGCAGGCCTTTCCACTTGTTCTCGACTGGATGCTGACGCTGTTTTTTCCCCTCGCGTGCGCTCTGCAACGTCAAGGCCTCGGTGAGGAAGGGGGTGCTGCCGAGCATGCTGGAGGAGATCCTGAGGACGCGGATCATGGTGAAGCAGTCGATGAAGGCCTACAAGCACGACAAAGCCATCACCCGCATGCTGGATGCCCGCCAGCTGGGGCTCAAGCTGATTGCCAACGTCACCTACGGCTACACTGCTGCTAACTTCTCTGGGAGAATGCCGAGCGTGGAGGTAAGTCACAGGGGCACCCCTGGGCGCGCTCGCATGTTTCTGTCGTGCCCGACGAGAGAAGTGGGCGACCTGGCGTCTCTCCTTTTTCTTCCGCGTCTAGGTGGGCGACAGCATCGTGCACAAGGCCAGGGAGACCCTGGAGAGAGCCATCAAGCTGGTGAACGACACTAAGAAGTGGGGGGCTCAGGTGGTGTACGGCGATACGGACAGGTGAGAGCGGACTTTGCGCATGCAGTCTGCGGGACCAGTCGGCCCAGTGAGGGGTTGTGATCTACACCAGTAGCAGCCCCATCGGTTGTCCAGCTACACACAAAACCACCCCCCTCGGCCTTATCCATCCGTGTTTTCACATCTAAAGAATTGGCAGCTTTCCCGTCTAAAGACGTGTGCTTGTATACTGTAGTTTTGGGTTTAAGCAATTCTAATCCCCTTGGGCCGTTTTCATTTTGCCACGGTTTTAAGTTAAAGTTATGCAATCCGAATGGCACTTTTGTACTAAGATCCTTCGCCGCTCTGTTCCCCTGTGGAGAACCTGTTGCCTTCATCCATGGTCTTCTTCCTCCAGCATGTTCGTGCTGTTGAAAGGAGCTACCAAAGAGCAGGCGTTCAAGATCGGGAACGAGATTGCCGAGGCTGTGACCGCGACCAACCCCAAGCCAGTCAAGCTGAAGTTTGAGAAGGTACCAGAGCCCATAGCCTGTACACTAAAACAGCAGGAAACTGTTGCCAGTGATAGTAACCAGGTGCTTCCTCACAGGCCTCAGCTTACAGGCTATGAGCACTTGAAGACTCAGTGGATGATGAACAGTACAGATTTAGGTGGTCTGTAGAGTCTTAAACCTTAAATAATTTTAAGATTTTGAAAAGCTGTTGGAGTCTGGTTTGGTGCTTTTATTCCTGAGGAGTTCCGTAAGAAAAGCAAGATATGTTTTTTACGATTTCGCTCATCCTTGAGGTCAGTTTTATTTGACAGCCGAAGAAGGCTTCACCATGACATCGGTAGAGGAATAGGAGGTGGATCAAAAGTCTAGTCCTGGAACAGATCGCTGTGAAGAGACTGAATGCCAAACACAGCCGAAACGTTGTTTCTTTTCATTTCCTTTCAGCGTGGAATGGACCTTCACCTGTTCCTTTGTAGCCCACGCATGCTGATGCAGCTCTCAACTTCTACAGCCCACTTCTGCTGTGCCCCACTATGCCTTCCGCTAAATCTTTTTTCTAGATCTCTTCGTCTGTCCTTCTCCCCCTCCTCCCTGGGCTCCCCCCCTCCTCCTCTCTCCACCTCTCCACAGCGATCTGTTCCAAGACCAGACTTTCTGACCACCTCCTAATTCCTCTACCGATGTCATCGCCACACCAGAGGAGGGCTCCACAGCCAAACCTCTCTTCTCTTTCCAGCAGGGAATAAACCTTTTCCCGTTCCTTTGCGGCCCACCCCTGCTGGCGCAGCTCCCTGCTTGACCGGTTTTATTTTACCCAGGGAAAAGGAAATTCGGGAGTGCTGAAAGTGCAGCTGAGCCCAGCTCTGTGAAACTGTCGGCTGATGCCTGCGCTTGTCCTGTTCAGGTGTATTTGCCATGTGTGCTGCAGACGAAGAAGAGGTATGTGGGCTACATGTACGAAAGCCTGGACCAGAAGGACCCAGCCTTTGACGCCAAGGGCATCGAGACGGTGCGCAGAGATGGCTGTCCTGCTGTGTCCAAGGTAGCGGTATTGCGACGGATTAGAAACCGTTTCGGTCCACCCTGTGAAAGCTGGCGATCGCTTGCAGAATCAGAAGTATGCCAGTTTAAAATAAAAAACACCACCTCCCATTCATGTAAATCTGAATGGGGGCACAGCTTTGCTAAAACATTGAGAAGGGTGACCCATTCACTGAGTGTGCTGCTAAAGCGTACTGCGTTCTTCCTTACTTTGCTTCCGAGCGTAAGATAAGATCACTTTATTGGCCACATACAATTTCTTGCATTAGGGATTTGTCTTTTCGCAGACCCCAGCCTGCTCTCCATGAGACACACAGACAGGGAGAGAAGCTGGGGGTCAGAGCGCAGGGTCAGCCATTTATACAGCACCCCTGGAGCAGTTGGGGTGAAGGGCCTTGCTCAGGGGCCCAACGCAGTAGGATTCCTCTGCGGCCGCGGGATTTGAACCAGCAACCTTCCAGTCACAGGCGCAGATCCTGAGCCACAGAGCCACCGCTCTGCCTGGTAACTTGGGGGCGCAGCTAAATGCAGTCGAGAAGAGAGCTCTCGCTGGGAAGCGTTGCTCCCTGCCAGTACGTACATGTCTGCCTCCATAGCTCTTGCTTGCTGCCCCCCAGATACTGGAGCGCTCCATCCGGCTGCTGTTCGACACGCGCGACGTGAGCCAGGTGAAGCAGTACGTGCAGAGGCAGTGCGTGAAGATCCTGGAGGGGAAGGCCAGCATGCAGGACCTGACCTTCGCCAAGGAGTACCGGGGCAGCGGCTCGTACCGGCCTGGCGCCTGCGTGCCCGCCCTGGAGCTCACCAGGTACGGCCGCCCGCGTGGCGCCGAGGGTTTGAGTGGCGGCTGCACGAGCTGCCGCTTTCGGGGTGACTGGGGACAGTTCTTCGCAGGGTGGCTTGTCCCTGGTGTCCCGAAGCGGCGGGCTTTCTTCACATAGCATGTTCGTAAAGAAACCAAATCACGCAGGCAGTGCAGGCGCTTCTAAAGATAGATGTTTCAGGCCATTTATTCCTTTCTGGGTTTCTATATGCGGTCCTAGCTGGGGGCTGAGCTGAGACGCTCACAAGGCGTTGATGTTGGCGCAGGTTTGTACAGGATCTTCTCGTCCCCAGAATCTCTCTGTGAAGCCTGCTCATCTCCTCATCTGCAGGCAGGACCGCCGTCTTGTATTTACTTGGGCGTTGCTAGGCAACACTGCCTTGGGGGGAAAATGGAATTTCATCTGAGAAGCGCAATTTAAACAAAATTGAAGCGAATAGATGGACCACACAAATGTCATTTGCGACGCATGCAGATGAACGAAATGTGTGCAATCCCTTATAACCTTACTGTTAACTTGATTCCACGTGGCACGTTTCTCGCAGAAAAGATTGAGAGTTGGGGCCTGCCTCTCGAGTCCACGTGGGAGACAGGCTCAAAGAGTGAATAGCTCAGGTGGGACTGCCATGACACCAGGTACATCACTAATTAATCGAATGGACAGCGGGGATTTATCACATGGAGTTTGCTGTTTGTGTCTCTCATTAAGGTAACGTTAAGGTGGAGGAAGAAGCAGGAGTAGCTTCATCGGGCTGTTTTCTTCAGGTTTTATTGGTCTGTAAAGAGCACCTCCTGGACTGTCCGATTTGGAGTGTGTTTCAAGAGCAAAGGTCCCGAGTCACGATTCCACCTGCAGGGATCTTCAGCATATAGAGAAAGTGTCCCGAATGTCATGAGGCTATTGTTCAATAGATCAGTGAGTGTAGGGGGAAGACTTTGGACTCGCGCCTGACAGGTTGTGGGTTCGAGACCCTGCTGCAGGCACTACTGTTGTGCCTTGGGAGAGGTGCTGTACCCCAGTAGCTACAGTCCGCCCAGTTGTGTCTGTGGGGACCAGCATAGCTGGGGGTTGTCTGGTCTCATTCTCTCGTCTGCTTAGCGCCATGAAAACCAGGAATAAGACCAGACTCGACGAGCTGTGGCGGCTCAGATATGCACATCACAAGTGCGTTGTCTCACACACATTGTCCACTGAGTCCACTGGGACGATGGCTATTAAACCTGGTTATCAAACAGCACGATTGATTAAACGTTACGGCTGATGCACCTTTAGGTAAAATGGTACGTAGCATCAAACAGTTTGGATGCATAGCAGTAGTCAGACTGTTAGAGTATCGTTAGGTGATGGTTGGCGTAACAGTAGTAGAGGGTCTTCTTTGTTGGGTTTATATTTGCACCCAGTTAGTTTTCTTAGGGTGCCTCAGTTTCTTCTCACCTCCCAAAGTCATGGGGGTTCGGATATTAGTGTCTGTAAACTGGCCCTGTGCTGGACTGGTATCTCATCTACGTTGCATCTGCACCTTGCATGTGCGAAGTTTTGGGGATACTGTGACCCCTACTATGACTGTTCGTCTGTCTGGTGATGGATGCATAGATTTGCAACTGGACAATGACCAGTATGTTGGTGTGGTTCCCAGAGATTAGACTTCCTGTTGCCATCTGGCCCCGTTTGGCTTCTTTTATTAAACCCCCTCATCAGTCTTCTTTGTGATAATAATATCCGCTATTAGGAAGAAGCTGAAAGAATATCATTCTTACAGCAGAGCTAAAATAGTCAATCTGCTGGAACACGTATAAGAAAGGCAATCATAGCTGACTGATGGTGGCGAGTTTGCAAATCGCTGTGATAGTTACAGACCTACGTGCCCAGACTGCAGCTATTCACCAAGTGATCTTGATACTGGGCTTGGACTCCAGTGAACAAGGAGAACACAAAGGGCTTGTGAAGTGGAAGGTTAATGAGGTGGAGAACCTCCGCTCGTTGTACGGCTGTGCGTTACAGAGACGGCCCTCCCCAGACCTGCGGCGGCTCTCGTCCGCTCTGGTTAACCGCGGAGTCGTGGCTGGAGCTGTGCGAGACGACAGGTGTGTGTACGGAGGGGGTCCCCCACATTTATAGCGATTCCCCTGGCACTGCAAGAGGCAAATCTCTGGGGGGAAAAACTGTGGAGAATTTCTGCACTGTAATGAGGAGTTCTGTGGAGGGACTATAGACTGCAGGGGTTTCAAAATCGCTTTGTTTTCAGCATTTGTGCTTCTGACGTTTCTAAAATATTAGAGATTCATTTTTTAACAGAGTAATGTCACGATTTTGGGAATGTTCTTCCCACAGTGTATCCAAACCTCTGTTAACAAAGCAAGGATTTGTAGAATTACTCATAACCACTTGAGTAATTTGTGCGGATATAGTGATTTTTTTATCCATTTACTTTTTTTATTTCTTGCTATACCGTGAGAAATCTTTTCACTTTTATAGTTTTGCTTCCCACAAAGTACCAGAACAGAAGATGAATGTTGAAAGGGAATTGAGACGATACCTGCTCAATATCTTCCTTGGTCTGCCCGGGGGTAACAGGTCTTCTCCCCTGCAAGTGGCAGCTGTCGATTTTCCCTTAACTCCCTTAATCCCTTAATTTACAACCTTGGGAAAAAATCCATCATCTCATCCTTTTCAAAACAGAAGGTGGAATTAAGGTGGCTTGCATTTTCTGAAAAAAATGTTTTTAACTTGAGAGCAATTATTAATGTACCTGTGAGCAGTTCTAAAAGGTGAAGAACAGCTTCAAATTCTGTTTGCAATTGCATAATTAAGGGTTGAAATTGGGGAAATGAATGTCATTCCTTAGACTAAGTAATCAGTGTTTTGTTGGCGTTTTGTGCACCGCTCATACACGTTGTAAAGTACCAGGCTATTGAAATACATGCCTGTCCTTGAACAGGCACTACTATGTGCTGAGTTGACTGTATTTTAATCCAAGTCAGCAAAACAACTTTGTAAAGTCTACCACCTCCCAAATGTAGACGATAATATTTCCCTGGCAACAGCCACCATAAACTCTTAACTAACATTTTGTAGAGAATGGCTTCCAAAAGGTCTTTGAATAATGAATTATTTTACCGTAACCATTAAAGGGTAAATCGGTTGTTAATGAGAACGTTGTGTTTGTTACAGCTGCTATGTATTTAGTTAGTTTATGTTGTATTTGTACGTGTGCTTGTTATGAATCTTGATGCTGTGTTATCTTGACAGTTTTGCAGTGCTTGCATCTACACTTTTCATCACAGAATGCTTGGCCATATTGTGCAAACGCCAGTGCTATTTGGTTCCTACTCTATTAGACCTTGTCGATCACTCAATCGTGAAATGAAGTAAATTTATGCGGAGTGAGGATACATACCTTATCATAGCGCTGTCCTATATACTGTATATAATGTCCACCTCACAGCACAGTACGGCTGACTACTGCATTGAAGCACACATCTGTGAAACAACTGTGAAACGCAAAACATCCTACATTTTTTTTCACAAAAAATTTGAAATTTGAAGACATCAAGACATCAGAACAAACTTAAATCCAGCTTTACCCAAATTTGAAGGTTGTATAATGCTAAAGTCATGGGAAACGATCCTAAATTACGATGAGAAAACAAAGGTTTTAGCAGCCTGTCTGCCTCATATCACATAAACTGAAGACGCACAAGGCCTGGTTTGAATGGCACAGACATTGCACAAACAATTGAGTCCAGTTGGCTTCTCCTGCACTGCGGGGGGTCTGGGTGACTCCCCATGTAAAATAAAGCATAATATCGCCGAAAACAGCACAGACGAATTGGCTATCCTGAGACCTTTTTAGGAGGGTTGAGTGACGTCACTCCTCCAGGATAGAATCCCTTGTATCGCAGAAGAGAAGGAGGTGTAAGACTGTAACTCCCCTGGCAGCCTTTCTGAATATATTCTGACCTTTTGGCCTCAGTTAGGTACCTCTGCGCTTGAAATCGCACACGCTGCCGCCCAGAAAGGTTTAGCTGTAGAGGGATTCGGTAATGCGGCCAATAAATTGGTATTTCTGGAAACAGACAAAGATCCTGCACTTTGTGCGAGCTGCAGTGTCTCATGATCTCTCTTTGATTAACTCTGAGGCCATGGTGTCTGCTAAGGTGTTATCACACCAGCTAGAGCTTTTAGGGACAGGCATCTTACGCCTCATAATGTTGGTTACCTTCTCTACATTATACACATGGCCTCAGACATCGCCTCCCCCTGTGTGGGTCTATCATCACACACAGAGTTTTGGCCGGCCTGCTTGGGGATATGTATAGTGTGGGCTGTACTAGATCATATGATCCATCTCCAGCATTCAATAATATGGTTGAATGATTCAATGATGATACGCCACCCTTCAGCAATGGGACGAGGAGGTGTGAAACGCTAGTTAGGTGAAATGAGAGAAATGCGCTTTCCGCCATCTGATCACCACCAACGACACCTTGGTATTATTTACTCGACGCAACGTCTCGTTTTAGCAACAGTTCAATAAGGTTTTGTTCAGGTCCGAGCTGGCTGAGCCCTTTCCCCGTGCTCTCCAGAACGAAGGTGTCGGCGCGCGCTTCCTCGCTCGCGTGACTGTAGTTCTGTTAGTCCTCATTCTGCCCCTCCAGGAAGCGTGGAGAGACCGCGTCCTCGGATTTCTAGATCCATTTGGAAAGGAATGGGACTGCACATTCAATTCTCCACTCCGCAGTGCGAGAGAGCTGCAGGTTTAGCTTTGCCGAGATTTTACATTTTCTTTCTGCTTCTTTGCTTTATGAGCACTGTCCGACTGGTTTAATCCTGATACTGCTGTATCCGGGCAGCGCAGCAGACGTTTTGAAGAGGGACTGGTCTTTCTGTGTAGCCTTCAAGTGTAAATTCATACTTGTGTTCCCCTGAAGCAAGGCAGCTCTTACTTTGAGCTTCTAATCTGGCAGTAGTTAGAAATCTTCATGAGCCCTCCGAGGATATGACATGCCCATTCTCCTGCTTTCTGTAATTACCAACTCATTACGTGAGATTCCTCTTTAGCCTTGTCACTGTGGAGAAGTAAAGGCTTTGATGTTCTAGCAGATAATTTAATGAAGATGCTGTGCTTCCCCTCGTCTGCAAGATCTCAATTCGAGCTTTTCTGGCTTCTTGGTCTAGTTTCATATAACCCCTCCAGTATGCACTGCGTGCCTGCAGCGCCCCCCTGTGGGGCAAGGTGGTCTCTGCACCCACTGCATAATCCGCTGGACGTCGGGGGCAGGAAACAGGCCCTTTTCTTCCTCTGTGTGAGGCTTCACGCAAACCGTTCTCAGCTGTCACAGTGTGAAACGTGGATTTGAATACAGACAAAGACCTTTGCTCGAACAGGATTTGGAATGTAAATTTGGTTTTCACCAATCCTAGAATTCAGAAGACCTGTTTTAAGCTTTCTTCACAGGATCCTGATTGATATGATTTTGTGAAGCTGGTCTCTAGTCCTGTGTGTGTGCGCCCTCTTCCTGAGGCACTGTGGGCACCCTTTTATGTTTAAGAAGAGCCCAGGTAACAACAGTGCCTTGCAAAAGTATTCACCCCCCTTGTAATTGCTGCCAAAGGTGGTCCTACCAAGTATTAACTCTGGGGGGGGGATACCTATGCAATCAATTATTTAATTTTTAACCAATTTAGTAAAATGTCTGGATTGTTTGTGTTTTCACTCTGACATTATAGAGTACTTTGCATTGATGAGTGGCAGAAACGCTCAGTTAAATACATCATGGTTCCATGCTGTAACACAATATAATGTGAAAAAGTCCAAGGGGGGTGAATACTTTTGCAAGGCACTGCAAGCTCAGCCTCCACGTGGCCCCTCCTGTCATCGCTGGCCCCGGGCCTGACTTGACGTGGTTTAGCTCGGGCTGGGATTCCTGGGAATGCTGGGATTCGCAGTGCTGGGATTGCTGGGAATGCTGGGCTGCTGGGGGGGCTGCCGACGATGCTGGGGGGTGGGGTCAGCGTTGAGAGGTTGAATCGTTCTGCTTACATTCCATTTTTGAACACTCACATGAAGACAAACTGGTTCACAAAAATGACAAATTAGATTAGAAAATATAGATGTACGGTATACTGTATATGCGTATGGTGTACAATTAAAGGTAGTTGCCAGGCAACCAACTGAGCAAGCATGGCTGAATTAATCTTCACATCACATCACTTTCAGTTACCGCCTCTCCGGGGTCAGGGTGGCCCAGGGCCTATCCCAGCAAGCAATGGGCACAAGGCAGCCTGGCAGCCTGGACCCCAGTCCATCGCAGGGCACACAAGCACACACACTCCCACCGGGGCCGGTTTTCCCAGTAGTCAGCGAACCCGCCAGCATGCTTTGGGACTGTGGGAGGAAACAGGGGCTCCCAGAGGAAACCCACACAAACACAGGGAGGACAGGCAGACAGCACCCCCCCAGGTCCAGAATTGAACCCGGGGCCCCAGCCCTGCGCACCTGTCAGGTGTCCAGTGTGGTAGAGCGTGTCTGTCGCCCGCTGACACGGCGCCCCCGTCTCTCTCCTCCGCTGCAGGCGCATGCTGGCCTACGACCGGCGGCTGGAGCCGCGGGTGGGGGAGCGCGTGCCCTACGTGGTGGTGTACGGGCTCCCCGGGGTGCCCCTCATCCAGCTGGTGCGCCGGCCCGTCGAGGTGCTGCAGGACCCCGGCCTGCGGCTCAACGCCACCTACTACATCAGCAAGCAGATCCTGCCCCCGCTGGAGCGCGTCTTCGCGCTGATCGGCGTGGACGTCTTCAGCTGGTACCAGGAGCTGCCCAGGGTGAGCCAGCCTCTCCGCCCCGCCCCGTCGGGGAGAAGACGTTGTCAGGCTGAGAGAGTGAGAAACGGGAGCTGCTCTTGACGAGGCAGACGGGCAGCTCTCTTGCCTCTTACCGGGGCTGTAAAAACACGTCATAGTTCACGTTGAAGATGTGGCTAAGGGAGGGGACCTCTTAAAAGCACACTTTCCAGCTGGTGATTTCTGCATAGGGAGTGCTGCACTGCTGCTTTGCAACCGGACACGATGCCTGTTATTGCTCATTAGGCCACCAGGTGGCAGTGTGACATGAAATACTTAGCTGCTCTTGGTTGTTCCCTGTTTAAACCCCTTTCTGATCGTTATCGGAATGAATCTGGATCTTTAGCATCAGAATGACTGGACAGCTTGGTCGACAGGATTGTGAGATCGGTCAGTGACCGGCAGGAATAGCTATTAAATGTTGGCTTTGACTCAAGAACAGCACCCTGCAGCTCACAGCTGGCAGCCCACTGGAGCTCAGCAGGTGTGAGCCTGGTCAATACCTGGATGGAGACCTCCTGGGAAAGCTGAGGCTGCTGCTGGAAGAGGTGTTAGTGGGACCAGTAGGGGGCGCTCACCCTGCGGTCTGTGTGGGTCTTAATATATAGTGACGGGGACACTATACGGTCATAAAAGGCACAGTAAAATCGAAGATCCCGACTCTCTGTGGTCATTAACAATCCCAGGGCGTTTCTCGAAAAGAGTAGGGGTGTCACCCAGGGGTATTATTGAACATAATTAGCGAGCAGGCCGTATCTGTCACAGTATTGCACTCGTTTACATGAGTACTCGTAGTTCTTCCACACCGTGGCCTGTCTGGAGTCTGAAGGGTGTGACTGCGAAGACAAGGTAGGAGATTCTTATGGATTAAAAGAAAATGACCATTTTAAAAATGTGCAGTTTGTAATAAAACTTATATCGCCCAATCCATTTCAATACACGAATGAAAGTATTCACGTACCATTTGCTGTGTAACATTCCGCTTTGATTTTACTTAATCAAACCATTTGATAGCCTTTTTAAAGATGAATTACTTTGATCTTTTACTCTTACTGAAATACATGGTGGGCTCTCACTCTTTAGTTAATTAACTTAATATTTAGTACTTTTGTCATTGATTAATTGTCCATTTTAGTGTTTTTAGCTGTTAACCAATGCAGCATATTTCACTAAAATGCATTTCCTGCTGTATTACTACTTTATTTAGGAAGATTTCTAATCTGACATCAAGCAGGAAAACTGCGCTGAGAGCACAGCGCTGTAAAAAGAGAACCCGCTCCCGTCACAACAGCGAGATAGCGACCACACTGACTGCTCAGAGAAGCGTCCCCGAGTTTGCGAGAGCTGGGCGGCGTTTTTAACTCATAATTCATCCGGAAGCCCATTCGGTTCTGCCTCCGTGTCCCGACTGGCAGCAGCAGTGAGGAGGGGGGGGTGCGGCGCCCTGCGTGTTGCTCTCGCGGCCTGTGCCCCGCCCGCGCCTCACCCTCCGCCTGTGCTCCGCCCCGCAGGTGCAGAAGGCAGGCTCGGCGGCGGGCGGCGAGGAGGCCGGGCGCAAGGGCACCATCTCGCAGTACTTCACCACGCTGCACTGCCCCGTGTGCGACGAGCTGACGCAGCTGGGGGTGTGCAGCCGCTGCCGGGCCGAGCCCCAGCGCGTGGCCGTCACGCTGAGCCAGGACGTGCGTCACTGGGAGC